CCACCAGTGCAGTGTCATCAGCATATAGATAGACTTCACAGTCGCTAGGGCAAGGGACATCATGCGTAAAAAGTGAGTAAAGGATTGGCCCTAAAACCGAACCCTGAGGGACGCCGGCTCTGATGGGCCGCATTGGCTACAAGAAATTATTATAATTTTGAACCGAAATTTCCAACCTTCAAGGAAGGATTTCAAAAGTTTTAGGGACCAAAATGGAAAGCCCTTTTGGATTAGTTTATAGAGAAGGTCCTTGTGCCACACCTTGTCAAATGTCTTCGAGACATCCAGAAGCAAGATGCCAGTACTTTCGTTAAGGGTGAAGCCCCTGGTTACTCGCTCCACAAGCCTAACCGCCTGTAGCTCCGTACTATGCTCAGACTGAAATCCAAATTGCACGTCAGGAATCACATGACGAGAAATTTCCAAGATGACGTAGAATCACCTTTTCAGCGAGCTTAGACGGAGCAGACAGTAGGTTGATGGGACGATAGTCCTGGAGAAATATCGAACCAACCTTCTTTGGAATCATTATAATTTCCGCAGTCTTCCACGCCGATAGAAAGTACTGGGTCCTTAGCATGGCATTGATAATAGCCTCGAGATAGGTCACGAACTTCCGTGAAAGCAGCTTCAGCGCCTTATTAGTGATATGATCCTCCCCAGGCGCTTTACGCACCTTGAGGTCTTTAATATGACCTTGAAGCTCTGCTGGTGTGCAATGCGGGATCTCGGGAGAAGCCGCTGATGTTCTGTGCAGCTCTTCAGCTGAAGAATCTTCCGAAAAAGAATCTTCTGAGGAAGAATCACTAATGGCGGCGCCGGAATCACTGACGCCGTTGGCTCTGAAATATCTCCTAACGGATCTTACAATTTGTTGCTCCTCGTCGAGATCATTATCAAGATCATAGTTGGGAGAGAACTGTCATTCCATAGTATCAGCGAAAACCTGGACCTTGTCCTCTGTCTTGAAGACTAGGCCCCAAGACGGTGGATGTGCGGGAGTTGTTCTCGCTTTCCGTTTCTGAGCGAAATCCATTGCTCATTGCGGAATTCATGGAGAGCATTTCTCACTTCATGAACAAGATTCGTCGCTCTGCGAATGTCATCAGGTGATCGGGATGATGTTGGCGTATTTCTGTCCGCTGTACACAGACATGGTGTCACTACGCAGTCATGAATTAATAAAAGTGGCGTTACAATCTGTCACTATCTAGAGTGACACTGTCCGTCACTCCGTCTAAGAAAAAATTTAAATTTCTAATAAAGGGAGCCAAAAAATCATCATAGGCTGTAGATGTTTCCGATTTTTTGTAAAGTCTTTAATTTGAAAAGTATACGACTTCTGAGACACTTTTCCCAGAAGCATAAAATGTCTCTGAATTGTGTCGGGATATACATTATTTTTATTTATTATTAATTATTTTTATTATTAAACAAAAGAGTGGAAATACCAACAATAAATAGACGCGGAAAATACAGACCCTAGACCATTGATTCCCAAAGTGGTCTATATCGACCCCTAGGGGTCTATGATAACCTGCAAGGGGTCTACGTCAGCGAAAAAAAAATTGGGGGTCCATGAAATGAATATGGGGGTCCACGGTAGTGGATCTCAACACATACACTGATAGTACCTATTTACTTACATCATACTATCTTATAATATCAAAACATATACATTATTCATAAAAGTACCTATGAAGTAAAAAATTTATTATATATGTTTATAAAATTGTGTAAGTTGTAGGATGTTGGTATTCGCTTTGTGGTCGCAATACATTTTGAACTTGTAAAAACCTGAGAGTCGCAGTCTCAGAGCTTCGCTACCTTGCACTGACTTGTTCAATTCGTCACTATAAATACGAATGTGGGACAAATACGTTTATTTGTTTCCTGAATCTTGAAAAGGAAAGTGCTAAGAAAATATTTTAAAAATATAAACAGATAGTATATCACACAAATTATAGTGAGTCAGTGTTATTTTGTTTGAGAGTGCTGGAGAAAAGTAAGTACATTATTTTTTATTAAATTTTTTTGTACTCGTAGTTAGCAAAGATAGATAAATTACGCCAATCATGACTTTAGTTATTAGTAGTTAAATATTCAATCATGCAAAATTACACGAGTACTCCTCAACAGTTTCTTTTTGAAAGTTTTAGCAATCGGTAATATAATTACAGTGCAATCTCCGTAATTCGAGCTAATTGTTTCAAGAAGATGTTCGAATTATGGAATGTTTTCGGAAAAATCAAAAAATATTTTTAATATACAGCTGCTGGATTTTCTGTCTTATTTAAATAATTTAATTTTGCCCACAAATGACTGATGTCATGTCCGAATCTAAAAATAAATGTAGACAGCACAGTGTTGATTATTTGAAATTTGGCTTCATTCCATCATTGCCGGACAAACAATCGTCTATGTGTCTTTTATGCAACAAAGTTTTGGGCAATGACGCTATGAAACCATCTAAAATGCAAGATCATCTGAGAAGATGCCACCCTGATAAAACAAAGAAAGATTTGAAATACTTTCAAACACTCAAAGATAAATTTCAGAAGAGACCTACACTGGACAGAATGTTCGCTTCGACGTCACAAAGAAATGATTATGGTTTGCGGACGTCTTACAATATCTCGTTACTTATAGCAAAATCTGGAAAACCGCATACTATCGGAGAGAAGTTAATTTTGCCAGCCGTTGAAGAGATTTTAAAAACTGTTTTACACAAACCTGCATCTGATAGCATTAAAAGAATTCCCTTAAGCAACAATACTGTTGAAAGACGTATGTTATTGATGAAATGAGTTCTGATATTGAAAGCTTCTTATGTAATTATTTGCAAACGACCCATTTCTCTATACAACTGGACGAGTCAACTTTACCTGATAATGCAGCATTATTATTGGCATATGTTCGTTTTATTATGAATCAAGAAATCTACGAAAAACTGCTCTTCGCAAGAACTTTGATAACCGACACTAAAGGTGAATCACTATTTCATGTTTTGAAGGATGACTTCATTAAAAAAGCAATTCCTTTATCAAATATAATATCAGTAGCTACAGATGGAGCACCTGCCATGGTTGGACGTTATAGTGGATTTATAAGCTATTTAAAACAAAATGTGTCAGGGGTGTTAGCAATACATTGCGTCATCCATCGACAACATTTAGTTGCTAAAAATTTGAGTGTTAGATTGCATGAATCACTTCATTTAGTCATTGATGCAGTAAACCGAATCCGAAGCAACGCGTTGAATACGCGGTTATTTGCGCAGTTGTGTGAAGAAAATGACGAACACTTTCATCAATTACTCCTTCACACTGAAGTACGCTGGCTGTCGAAAGGCTTATGTTTGACAAGATTTTTTGCACTTTTTGAGACTATTTTAGAATTTCTGGATACTAAAGATAAAATTTTAAAAGAAAATTTAATGAAGAGGAAAACAGACATCGCCTATTTAACAGATTTGTTTACAAAATTTAATATGACTAATTTGCAATTACAAGGCGACAGTTTAAATTTGATTAAAACAAAGTCCATCTTATCAGCGTTTCTTGCCAGAGTTAAACTAATGGAGCAAAATATTCAGATTTTGAATCTAGGTTTGAGGATATTTTGACTATGGTAATACCACCGTGGATAATTAATCCATATGGTGACATAGAAGAAACGAATGTCATAATACAAGAGGAACTGACTAAACTAAGTACAAGCGAAGAACTTAAGGTTCAGTTTAAAAACAGATATCAGCAATTCTGGCTGCAAAACAACATACCCGTTACTTATCCCGTATTATGGAATATAGCGAGGAAATTTTTAATTTCCTTTCCATCGTCATACCTAGTGGAAAGGGGGTTCAGCGCTGTTACCAATCTCCTAACGAAAAAAAGAAACAGACTGGATATCATTAGCCGAGGAGATTTAAGATTAACCTTTACAAAATTGACGCCAAATGTTGATAATTTATTATTAAAGCATCAGGTTCATCCTTCTCACTAAAAATATTGACTTATTGCTTATGTTATTTTATTTATAGTTTATTTTATGTTTATTGGTGTCTGACCAATAAATGCCCGCATTGGGAATAAGTGCCCGCATTCATTTTTTTAAAGAACCCCCCTTTATAGAAAATATTTTTTTTTAATTATTCTGAAAATTCAAGGATAGGTACACACTAAAATTCGATAATTTTTTGCCTATTTTTAGATAACTTAAACCTATAAGAAGCGGAATTTAATCAAACTAACAGTGAAATTATTGTAGAACATACGTTTATGTTATAATTAATAAACAAACTCGCTTATTGTGCTATTTTAAGTAAAAAACTTTTTTTTATCATTTTTCACTTTTTTTTTTTATTTTATCCCTCTTATTTTTTTCAATGCGGGCACTTATTCCCAATGCGGGCACTTATTGGTCAGACACCTGTTTATTTAATGTTACGTATATTTTGCATAACAGATACAAAATTTTATTTTGAGTAGTTTTAATTTAAATTCAATTAATAAATGTATAAATTAACATGTGTTTTTACTTTTTAACACTAAACTTCACTACAGTTAGAAATTTACAGGAAATCAATATCAGGTAAGTAGGGGGTCTACCCAACACGGAAAAACATGGCAAGGGGTCTACGACACAAAAAAGTTTGAGGAACTCTGCCCTAGACACTTGACAAACAAAGCAGGTGCCTTGGATGCATCCAAATATCCTGACCATAATCGTTAATATATATTACCTCATCATAGGCGGAGGTGAGGCAAAAGGGAGTATTTATATTTTCTTAAATTAATTGTTCAAATGTCGGTCATCCCTGTGGGTAACGTGGTCCATTTTGGAATCCCAATTTTCGATGTCGCGTTCAGTACAGTACAGTTCGAGCGGTATCTGGAAAGTTGAGCAGTTTACATCTGACCTGTTCAAGAAAATTATATGTTAGTACGAAAATTGATTGTCATCATTATATGCGGTCATAGTTTCATCATCTTCGGAATGATATGTATATATAAGAAAAAGCTGTAATCAGCAAAAGGTGATAACCACTAGTGACGGAGAAACTGCGGAGTTGATCCTGTCAGACTCAGAGAGTGCAAGTTCGACGCTTGAAGTGTACGGACGTATTCAGTCGGCTCAAGTAGTGCAACTTAGTGTTTGAAGTGCTACTCCCGTGTGTTGTTTAATGATATTCGTGAGTATCTTTTTGAGTTGACATTCATTTAGTTTTTTAGAGAAACGGAATCTTTATGTCAACTATCTCGCTACGATGATGGTAAAGTGGACCTGAATAAAAACAAAAATCCGGATATTGTTTCATATGTAATATGTTGTGATGGCTTTTTGATGTACTCAAAACAAAACCGCAAACGCTCAATTCAGTGAAAAGATCTTTACTTGTATTAAATAGACACAAATGAAATAATAAGATGCGGGGCAAATAAACAACAGGTCCACTCAAAAGGCTTTCACAAGTACGCGGGCAATTTTTTCCATCTGCTGAGATAATTCATCTGCAAACTTGCGAGACTGTGAATGAGTCCATTTTTTATTTTCGATTAAAACATATATAAAATGTTGTTTATAATCAAGTCTTATTTGGTTGTACACTTTTAGCCTTACAAAGTTGCTCAGCAGTTGAGCTCATTCTTGTTACGGAAACCGAGTAGGTTTTCTGTCTGTTATTGGTGCGCTTAATACTAACTAACCTGTGCTTATGTTTGTATAGATAAAATAGGACATGTGAGCGGTAAACGTGTCTTACATCTGGCATCCTGATTCGATCGGGTCAGGATTTTTCCCAATTGTGTTATAAATTTCAAAGTGCAGTTTTGAAGACTCCCAACATTTTTTGTATTCAATTCTGTATGTTTTTGTCCATACTTGCTTGCAACAAAACTTAGGCCTCTAAGGAAGAATTTTTTAAATTTTTTTTTTTTTTCAAAGTTGGTTGCACTAGCTGCAATAATGTTTCTTTTTTGATTTGACTGCTCTTGTTGAGTCGTGTGATTATGGGTATCCTTTCACACTTCAAAAGGAAAAATTAATATTTTCAATAATAAACGAGATAATCTTGAAAAAGCGTCAAAAAATAAAATCAAGCGCCCCTTTAACATATCCAGTCCATCTAAATAGAGATGAACGACGCCAGTAGGCGAACGGCCAGGGGTGTTGCCAAACTGCTATAAAATAACAAAACTTTCCAGAAATGTGACGAACACGTTCTCTGAAATCTCGCAAAGGATAACACGACCCTATTTCCAACTAAATTGTATCATCTAATTAGTACAGAGAGCAATTATGCAATGCTTGTGAATTGTTTTGAACTGGTCTCTCCAATAAAAATATCATCAAAATTACCGCGAACTGAATCAAATAAATATGAATGTGGTTATCTGTAGGTGTTCCTTTCAAAAACTTTTTTGTTCCACAAATCACATCTACATGCTTGATATCTTTTTTCTATTTGCATTTCTTTTATATACAGTATTCCACGATGATTTGACAATTCATATGGATATAGAAAACTACTAGGATTGCTTTTTTAAAACATTCAAGAAATATTGCGCGAGATGCTTTTTTAAGTAATAATTTAGTCGTTTGCAATAATTGAAAGCAACATTTGAGATAGTTTATAAATTACTTGAAATTTTCGTCATATAGCCAAAAATAGTTTTACAGAATATATGTAGAAGGATATGTGCCTAGTTTGTTCTAGAATGATTTGAAAAACAAATTTGTCATATCATCACCACTGTGATCTCCGAAATAGTAAGAGATACAGGTCGTTTTAATGGTGGCAACGTTACGTATTTATATATTTTAGGAAATGCATTTGTAAGGTTTTGGCGCTTTCAGTATCTCTAGAGATACACGGAAAAGAGAACAAATTCTCCTACTTTTTGATCTCTGCAAGATGGCATAAATAGAACATTAACATGATTTTTTGTCTTTTATCCTCATTTCAACTTTGATTTTGCATATGCGAGTAGCTTTTGATTCTGATTTCTAATATTATACCATGTCCTACATTTTTATAAAAAAATGTTTCCTGATTAAGCCTTGGAATTATCATAAACTCATTTATTTCATAGACTATCAAAAAACATGACATGTTAAACATTGATAAAAATCTTCAAGTACCCTAACTTCATATAGTTTAATCTCAACAAATGAGGTACAACGTAATGTAACTCATTTATACTATTATAAGGTAATAATGAAGGCATCGAAAGCGGTATAATTTGAAAAAACTGAGAGCTGAAACGTCAGATCGAAATTCTAATTATGCCACCGTGTAGAAGAGAAGAAATGGCAAAATTAAGCTGATATCTAACATAGATTTCAATTAATCCTAGTAATTTCTGATCTAATAGATACTGATTCAGCTTGTGGATAACACTGAATGAAAAATTTAATTTTTGAAAAAAATGTTCCCTCCAATTAATTTTTGGCAAGCTCAGAAAAAGGGGGGCGACACTAGGTGGAAAACAAAGCACAAAAATGTTTGTTCAATAGCTTACTCTCGTTATTACACGTATTTAGAAGTAATATGGGAGCGCTAGCCAAATACAGAGCTTCATACTTTATGAGACAGCTTTTATACGCTTTACGTCACTTTTTGTATATCACTAATCGAGCTTGCAGTACTATTTGAAATCAAAAATTGATAGCCAATCTACATATCTAAATTTTTAACAAGATTCTGAAAGAAATTCCTCACGAAAATGATACCGGATGTGATTGAACTCATTATAAGTGGAACACAATTTCATCATCTACCCATGCGGAGTTTATCAATGCAATGATCTATATCAGTAATTTTTAAACATACTGTTGTAGTATAAACAAATCGAGGATTCACAAGATAGAGAAATTATGCGCATTAATTCGTCCAGTCATTTTACGCAATATTGGTATCACAAGTAATGGCTTCTCAGAACATCATTATGGTGCACAAATATTATGGGTTTCTTTTTTAATTGTCTTATGTCTGAGATTGAAATACATTGCTAATATAAAGATATAACACTTCGACTTGCCTCGAAAATCGTTTCAATAAAAGATATTCGATAGAAGAAATGAAATGGAGAACCTGAGAAAGACTACAAGAAAATATGGGATATCGATTGTTTCGCAATTTGGAAAATATGATTACCCTACTGTCTTAAAGCTTTAATGAACAGCCAAATAAAAGTATGCTTTCCGGGTTCTGCAGTTGAACTAAAGCCCTCTTTGATTATGTATGGGTCCCAGGCCGGAGAGAATTTCGGGCCTGATGAAGCCAACAAAATTGGCGTCAAGTAGGTTGACTCTGCACATCCTACGCAACCATTGTTATCAGTTCATAAAGGATTAAGTCCATCGCAAATCCTCTGAGAAAAGAGTCAGTTACGAACATGCCCAACAGACTATAGTAACATCAAAAAATTGTCATATACACTCCTCAACCTCTACAATCCCCAACCCCAATTTTATACCCCTACAATTTTTTTCTGAAAATGATCAGGAACCCCTGAAACGTTTATTTTTTCATGTTGTTGCTCCTAACTCCGCCGCTACTGGGCCAATTTTCGAAAACTACAAAGCTTTTTCGTCCTTGGCATAGTAGTGACCTTGTTTCAAAATTTAAGCGGTACTTCCTAAGTTATAGACAAGCAGACATACAGACAAAAAACAGACAGACCGACAGAACTATGTGTATATGCGTATATGCTGAAAGAACAGGGCTTTCGAATAAAAATTGCATAAGAATCCTATCGGTGCTTTTTAAGTTGAGTGACATGGCTTTTTGTGATGCACATGTCATATAACATCCAAACATCTCGCCTGACGTATATAGAAAAAATGGACGTGAATCGTTTAACAACTTTAGGATGTTCAGCAATATGACTATGTAAAACCAACTGGCACTCGATGGGAATGCCTCCAAAATTGTATGTGCACTGGGGCCCTTTCATAGCTTAAGACGACCCTGCCTCCAACTGAGTAATGTTTAACATTACAGAACAAGGATTGATAACTGTTTTCTCAAATACCTTGAATATTATCTGAATTTTAAACTGAAGATAATGTCTTGACCATCCAGAAGATTCCATCCATTTAGACATATCATGCTATTTTGAAATACAAATGAATCGACGGAATTCAGGCAGAAAAATGTTGGTACATTTCGATAAGATATATGATTTCATTTTTTGTTTTATTGATATTCAGGTCTTATCAAAATTTATATAAGCAAATATCAAAATAACACGTATTTTGTGCATTTGTGCTGTGTGTACGTAGGACATCTGTCTTCATGTATATACAAGGGGTATGTATTTAATTCTACATTCCACCAATTAAACGTTATTTAAATTCAAAATTAATATTGAGTTCGACCACAGATATCTGGGAAACACAGCTTTTTATAATAGTCGGTAATTTCTGGTGCGGATGCCGCGTGTTGAGTTCCTGTAAACTGGTATTGCGAATTTTTATAAATCTGGGTATTCCATCTATATTTTGTGTGCTAATTGTATAAGTTGTGATAAAGAAGTCAATATTTTTTCAGGGAAGAAGCGTCAAAAAACCGGTGCTGTGTGTGTGCAAAACAAAAATATACTTATTTTTCATAAATGGCGTTGCGTGACACAAAGGCCCTTGAACCACGGCTCACGGCTCATCTTGCGACGGCCGTGATTTTGTCCTTGAATCTACCGAATTTCAACGTCACTATCTACCGATTTCGTTTTTTCGGTTCAGTAACACTGCCCGCCGGTCAAATGAAAAAATGTGTTTTTGGAGCTAATCTAGCTGCTTTATGGAGAATTTCTTAATTTAATTTGGGGTTCAGAGGTCCAGAGGCTAGTTTGAGATATATTTTAGGAAAAATGTACTATTAAAACGAGTTCTGTTTGTTCAACTTTGAGCCCTGTTGCAGATGAGCCCGGTTTGGTAAAATCGTGCCTAGTACTTCTTTTGGTGTGAAATTGAAAATAAAAGTAGTCAGAATTCTTTTAATAATATCAGCCTGCATTGATTCACGATCACAGCTATTTTGTAATATTTCATATCCGTTATTTCGTAAATTGTATAGAAGATATACAGCTAAAAGGTTATCAGCACAATTGACAATATTTTTTAAATATTCAGATACATTGCTTAACTGAACTTCATTCCTTTAAGAGACTGCGGTATTGTTACAATAAAAGAATCATTTTTATAATAGGTATATTCTGAATTTATCCAATGATAATAACTATTCGTAATCACTAAAACAACAACAATGTCCCAGTTATCTCAGACTTATCGAAATGTCGTCACCAAAGAGGAAACTCCGACCAGTTTCAATGTTATTACATCTGATGCAAATATTATATCACGGAGCATCAGAAATGGTATTTAAAAACATGATAGAATCTGATGATGATCTTTTTAGTTAGACTGTACTGTTTTTATCAGTATTTTAGTTTAATTAAAGTATGCTTTAATAGAATACGTTCAGGGGCGGATCTAGAAGGTATTTTGTGGGGTGCATATATGATGAATTTGAAAACGTGCTAGGAAGGGAGACTCGGGATTCATGTTCAGCAAGATGTCCGTCTCGGTGAGTAGAGGCAACGGCGATTGAAAATTGAAAAGCGGAAGTGGTCTTCTAAAAACCGGACCCCCGGGGTCCCCCGCTAGACCCACTCCTGCATATGTTTACGTTGCTAAGCACTAAATATAAGGATTTGTCCAAAGTCGATATGTTCTAATTACTATTTTACACAATCTACACGTATATGAATAGCAAAATTGTTTTTTGTAAAGTTTTTCACTATGTTTTGACCATAACAAAAGTGCTCAAAACTGTTTAGTATAAAACAGTAACAGTTGATACTACATTGAGATATACATTGTGACTTTGAAGTTGAGTCAATAATTTTCAGATAATGATTGTAGAAGGAAGATAAACCAAAATATGTGTGTAAAAATAAAAAAAAATTAAAAAAAATTTTTTACCTTGTTTTATAAAGTATCCTCCCGACAAGTATTTCAGTGCGGACCTGTATTTGATCGTGAGGTCCCCTGTGAGGTCTTAAGTCACCTGATTCACGAGCCCGTTGTACTACATTAACAAAGGCACGAGGGGTTGGTTACACTCGATTGGGAAACCGATCCGCATAAACATGTGCCATTTTTTATTTCGTTTGAGCCACGCAACAGATACCACTATTCACTGACACTGACTGTATACAAATGAATGAAATAATTGTAAAAAGCATCGTTCCAAATTCTTTCGCTTTTTTGTTTCCGATGCGATGAACCGATACGGCGGATTATATCCGTTGTCGCCAAACACGACCACATAATATTATTATTGAGACAGGGCGGTACTCAAACTTCCAAAGGGCTATAACTTTGTTACTTTAATTTTACCAGGAAAATGGTAAAGGAAAAAACATTTCTTTTGATCAGATCTACTCACTGTTAAAATAAATGACTCAACTTCGAAGTATATTAAAACATATTCAATATTATTTTTAAATATAAACACAATATGTGTTGACTCGTCGCGATGCAACACATCAGGACGTAAGCCGATAGTCCACTCCGGCCCTGTCAGTATAACAATGTTAAATTATTAAAAGCAAAAGAATATCGAGTCCAAGATTTTCCAACAATAACAATTGCATCTACACCGATAAATTGAGATTTCAGTCGTGGTTTTGTATCTATCTGTATCTACTCAAAATGGATATTATTCGGACGCTCCATCACTAAGAACAGGGATGGGAATATACCTAAGATGATGTACGATAATCATTATGACTAACATATTCAAGGAAGTATATAGCAGCCTTAAATAGCTGATAATATATCGACGACACCAAACGGACAATACTGTAGTTTTCTGTCTACTATCATGTATGCTTCTGTTATAATGCAATTTTTATGAAGGTTAAAATGTGCGATAGTCGAGATTTATGAAACGTGTCTCTTTTCTGATTTCAGACCGCCTGTTAACTGCCAAACTTGACACTGACAGCACTCTTCCCCCCCATCTACGCAACTCAAGTAAGCGACGAATCGCCTGTACCTGTCAATCACGTGACGGGCACCGAGGTTATAAAAGCATCTTGCTTCTTATTTTCATTTCTCTTTTCCACAGTAATTTGAACGTACAACTAGTGTAAGAGCTCACAACCAAGGTTCAGAATGCCAGAAACAATTCTAACAAATGGTTATACCAACGGACACAACAGCTACGAAATGGAAGACGGCTCAGAGTTTCTGTTTACCTCGGAGTCTGTTGGCGAGGGACATCCAGGTTTGTGCACGCTTCTATTACGTTTATTCATAGCTCTAGAGGGTAAAATGGCGGTCTCGTACGGCACGCCGAAAAAACTGGAAGATTTACGTTGCTGAAAACTAATGACGAGTCGAATATGGGTTGTTCATATACAGAGTCGTCTAAAAACGTCTATCTTCCAGTCAGTTGTAGTCATAGCATCACAGCAAAGGTGCCATGAAGTTTTAAAGCTAACACGTGCTTTCTTCATAAAAATGGAAGGGGATATATGCGCACACATCCTTTTTGGGGTCGATGTTTGTTTTGATTTGGTTTTCCTATTTTTCTTTGATTTTCGGAGCAGTTTGTTTACCCAATTCAATTATTTGAACGCAATCTGTTCGATCCTCGTGCTTAACATTGCCATGGGTGAATGCCCCAGACAAAATAATGGCGAACATCAGCTTAAATTCAATATCTCTTATGTAATTATATCCTGCAGACGGAAAAGTTCAATCAATTATTCATGACCAAAAGATGAGTTACTATTTATAGCAACATAATAAAGATTGGGAATAGAGGCTTTAATTACTTTGGATGTCATTGGGCACATTTCAGGAGTTATTTGTGTATTAACAGCACAAAGTACCTTATGCTACTTGCTATGTGATTGATCCAAAATATGCTCATAAGTGCAATTTATGCTCTTCTATGTTATAGTTGTAGAATTGTAAAGAAATCATACACACACATTGACTGCACTCACTAGCACTCAGCAGCTTGATTTTGGAGATGTCTCGAGTGTGTTCTAACAGGTTATGTTCATTAATGTAAATATGTAACTGCTGGGTACAAACTACAAGGCACATTGAGTATATATATACTTAACTACCATTACTTTCTTCATCAGTACATCAGACCATCTCCATTGATATATTGGTATTCATGGTATGACCAGTACAAGGGATGTCTTTTAAGTTTTGCATATGGAAATAAAATAACATGGTAGATAGTTTTAAATGACTTTATTGTTTTTCCGAAGTATTCTCCACGAAGATTAATACACATCTGCATGTGATCGAACCAATTTTCGAAGCACTTATTCCACTCCTTTGCTGGCAGATCCAAAACGGCATTTTTGAATGCATCAACTGCTTCTTCTGGTGACTGGAACCTTTGACCATGCAGTCTGTTTTTAATTTTTGGGAAAGTAAAGAAATTGTTAGGTCTTAGATCGGGACTATATGGAGGATGGGGGTTGATTTTTTGAAGCTCTATGATGACTTTTGGCAAACAAATGGTGGTATACCAATCTGCAGTAACAGTTCTTTGCTCATTGAGAGGAATTGTTTTGAGACAAATGTCTTTTTCGAAACACTTTGAGAACAGATGACCTTTGTTGGCTTTTCTTCACATTGGAACACCCAAACAACAGACTGTCATTTATTTTCTGGTTCATAACAGTGAATCCACGATTCATCACCGCTAACAATGCTGCACACATTTTTTGAGTTTCCGGAATTGAAACGGTCAAGCGTTTTTTAACAACAATTAACCCTGGCTGCTTTCGGCTCTTCAGTCAACTGGTGGGGTATCCAACGAGAAACTAATATTCTTACTCCTAATTCATGTAAAATTTTTTGAATATAGGTCTGTGAAATGTTCAAGGACGCCTCAATCTCGCGATATGTCACATGTCTATCTTCAATGATGAGTTTGCGCACAGCATCGACGTTTTCCTGAATGACTGCCGTTTTTGGTGCACCCACACTGGGATCGTCACTAAGACTCACCCGTCCACGTTTGAATTCTCCATACCAACGGGAAATTGTCGACTGATGTGGCGCTTCGTTGCTGAAAACAGACAGTAACTTGGCAAGGCATTCTTGTGGCGATAATTGTCTCTGAAAGTTGTAATAAATTTTGGCGCGACAATGTTCTCGGTTGAGCTCCATTTTTCTAATGACTTGGTGACACTTAAAAATTCACTGTAGTGAGAACACTGCACGTATTGTTGTGAAACTTTGAATTTAAGTTTACTAAAGAGTGAGGTTAAGATTCAGTACTGACGTTCGATCCGCGCGGCCTACTATGTTTCTATATGCAAAACTTAAAAGACATCCCTCGTACTACTGGTAGTGCCATTATTTCAGTACAGAGTATTGACATATGGTACATTCCATGCATGATGTTTCACATTTTACTCTTGGCAACATCACGATATTGCTTGTATGTGTGTCTGTAGATATTAGATAGAAGTACTGGGTAGAAATAGGAATTATCCACCCAAACCAAACAGTTATATGCCTCAGTAACTCGGTGGTTAGAATGTCCAACTAGCAACCTGAAGCTTGCCGGTTCAAGTCTCTATCTCGAAAGTTAATTCCTTGCCCTGGATGTTATGTTGTCTATATCACTCACCTGGGCACAATATTAACAGCAGGTGCCTCTCCTCACTGGAGCTGGTTTATTATTTCAGTTAGCTCATGAAGTAGTACAATGCTGGTGATTCAGGGTTAGCAAAAAGGGTCAAAGGTGGCCTAGTTGCCAGGCTTGCCTCTCCACCACTACTGTGAATCCTAGATTTCAGTAATTATTGATATAAAAGCTTATGCAGAAATCCACTGACACTGATGGAATGATCAGTAAATACTGATTGTAGGGACGACAGTAAATACTGATATGACATATGCCTTTGAATCAGCTGCTGAATGCTAGTGCTATCATAAAATATTACGTCATTCTGGTAACATGGAAGCTATTTTTACTGTTGGTCTGACTAACCAGTAGCATGCATTTATCCTACTTCACTTTTCTAGAAAGGCAAAACTGCCATTTCTAATTAGTCCTTGGAAAATGTTCACTTTGTGATAGTGCATCCAACACATAATTTTTTTGGTCATTTGTAGAAACAAATCTTTACCTCTTAATTTAATAATTTTGAGGAAATAGAGGGATGTGATATATTGCTTTGAATTTACAGATAAAATGTGTGACCAAATCAGTGATGCAATCTTAGATGCTCATTTGGAACAAGACCCAGATGCAAAAGTTGCTTGTGGTAAGTCTTTGACCATTTATTTATTAATGCCTCATGTCTTTACCTATGCTTTGTCATTTTACTCAGCCCATATAACCTTTGCTGTTGGTTAAGGTTTCTGTTATCATTGTTGATAAGTAAAACCTGGTTGCTCTGGTTAAAAAATGATAAGGCAGTCAGATGATTTGGCCAATAGGAATAATCTTAAAACTCCATTATTTTTTTTTTCTCAGAACTATCATGGTTTATGTCTTTCAGAAACTGTAACCAAAACTGGAATGGTTTTGCTCTGTGGAGAAATCACATCAAAGGCAGTAATAGACTACCAGAAAGTTGTCAGAGACACAGTTAAGCACATAGGGTATGATGACTCTTCAAAAGGTAAGCTTTTAAGTGATCCTTAGTATTTGCTAGGAATTAGCTCTGCATTCTGTTTCTTTGTACATGATTCACTTTTACTTTCAAATGCAGCCTTAACATTAGTTTGCCACTATTATTTATGCTTGAAAGTAACTCTAGTAGTGATTTGTGAGGCATGAAAAAGATGTCGGGGGTTTCATTGTTTAAAAAATCGATCAGGGCAAAAAATAGTATTCCCCAGTTCTATCAAGTAACAAATGTATATTTTGATGGGATTTTTTAGACTTTATTTAAAAGGTATTTTTGTCTTTTTTTTTTCATTGTTAGAAAATGCTTTGAAATAATACTATTATAGAAAGTTTTTGAGCATATAGTAAGGTAACAAAACAAAAAATATTCAAAAATGGCGACGCCGCAGCAATTTTCGCGAAATACATAGAATTTCAGCCAATCTGCAGCACACAGTGTAGCTGCTGCAAATTTGGATCTAGAAAAAATATGAAAAACAACTTACTGCTCATGTTTATAGCTAAAGAAATATACAGGATGTCCCGCAAGGTAAGGGACAAAAGTTTTCTACATGTTCCTCAGGTCAATTCGAGTGGAAAAAGTCCTATGAACATGGGCCCACAAATGCTTCCTTATTGAGATAATGATTTTTTTATTTTTATTGTGCTAATGGTGGGAAAACCACAATACTATTGGCAAATTACTTTTATTTAACACAAAATTACCAAGTACACTAAAAATAACTATTGACAATAATTGTTCAAATTGTAAACTGTAAACATAGTCTAGCCCGTTTAATAATGTGACTGGTGGCTTTCCCAATAACAAGACAATTACTTCTTATGTCGTCAGCGACGTCAGTAATTTTACGGGTCAGTTCAGCCCTGGTATGGGATTTCTCTGCATACACTAAAGATTTCATATGTCTCCACAAATAATAAACCAAGCGATTTAAATCGGGCGAACGGGGTGGCCAAAAAGCTGCGCCCCCTCGTCCAATCCAACGCCCAGGAAAAGTGTTATTTGAATACTGTGGGGCGGAGCACTGTTATGCTGTAACCACATCTGTTTTATTCTCTGCAGCGGAATATCCTCTAACAACACAGCCAGTTCTTCTCATAAGAATTGAAGATAAACTTCATATGTCAACCGACCGTCAAACACAAAAGGGCCAACTAAGTGATCTCCTAACAAACCGCACCAGACATTAATAGAAAACGGTGTTGGAAATTCCGTTCGATAGATGGATTTTCAAGCTGCCAAGAATGGGAATTCCTCAAATTATCGTCGCCGTCTCGAGTAAAAGTAGATTCGTCGGTGAACAAAATCTTTTTAACAAGATTACGATTGCGAGGAGCCAGTTGCAAAACTGCATACGAGGGTCCGGATCAGTGAGCAGCAGAGCTTGGACAGGTTGGAGATGAAATGGGTACGACTCATTGAGCACTATCCAGTATTAAGTCATGGACAGCTTCTGAAGGACGTGTTACAGTAGCATTTCGAACTGATCCTGTTGCTTTCACATGTGCCAAAACTCTTCCAAATACCCTTGTGTCAGGTATTCTTCGATTTGGATACTGGCGGCGGTATTCGTTCACTGATGCTATGCCATTTCCATTGCAGTATCCGTAGTCAAACATCATGTCACCATAATCCTCACTTGTAAAAACAAACATGACAGTAATTTTTGCAAAGTTCAATCAAACTGACACAACTACTCCGTCAACAAACAAACAAACACCAGCTTATTAATCGGGCAGTTCAACGTGAATGTGGACTTCAATAATTGTAAACAGTTGTATTAATAAGAACAGTATTAATTTTTTTGTTAAAAGCTATTTTTCAACAATATTGTGGTTTTCGTCCACTAAAAATATAAAAATCATATCTCTATAAGGAAACATTTGCGGACCCATGTTCATACGACTTTTTCGACTCGAATTGACCTGAGGAATACGTAGAAAAATTTTGTCTCTTACCTCGCAGGACACCCTGTATGTATGCATAAAATTCTAATGAAAAGATTGGTATTTGTTGGAGGTGTGGTGCATGCCATTTTGAAAAATTCTCATTTCGAGGAAACCGCTGTAGCCATTTTTTAACATTTATGCTAATTATCTTTGTTGTTACTTGAATACATGCTTAATAACTCACTGTGTTGTTATTTTTTTGCCACCATTACTTCCACCAAAAATAAATGACAAACAATACTTTTTTTAGACTGTTACAGAGGTGATACCACTTGAAACTTCAATCTGCCATTCAAATCGGTTGACTAAAGAAATTATGGAAACTCATACCTATTTATCTTGGTCACCATTAGATATGTCATTTTGTACTTCTATTTCTATCTCCAAATTTTTAGTCAAGCTCAAAAAAACATACTTTTAGACGCCCTTCTCCTTAGACAAAAGATTTTTTTTTGCAGTTTTGTAAAGACTGTATCCCACCAAAATATATATTAGTTGAATAGAACATAAAACATGTTTCATTTGCCACATCATAGGTTTTGACTGGCGCACCTTCAACCTCCTTGTGGCTTTAGAACAACAGTCTCCAAATATAGCAGATGGTGTACACACTAATAGAGAAGAACCAGAAATAGGTGCAGGGGATCAGGTATTATTTTGAAAAGTTCTATTTGAAAAACGGGGGCAGATAAATTGTGACACCATCGATCATTTCTGCTGCTTGCTTGGGTTGCTTTTATTCTTAGTTTGCTTCTTGCTATGGCATGGTATGGGAGTAATATATCATATCTGATGAGTACATATTTCTATGACAACATTGTAACATGGAGACAGATTATTTTCAGAGAATTTGCTATGGTCTTTTTCATGAGTATCCATTATGTTTTGACATCTACCGAGGTGAAACAGCTGATTAGCAAGTGACATCTTTGTATTAAAGTCTGTAATGTTGGCAATATTCATAACTGAACCGTTTATTCCAAACATTGTCAAAAACTGTTTGGTCCATTTTATTCCTACCTGACTTGGGAGTCACGATTATCAACATCCATTTTGCTTGTAGCATTTTTTTGTGTAAAGGAACTTTTCTATAACTATGAATGCCCTAGCACTCTGGAGACCTCTGATCTGACACCTCGTTGGCTGGAAGTACTCTGGCATTAGGTTACTCTCGAACCTGTTATTGTGTTCGTGAACATCACCGTCCATTCATAATGTATTGGGAGGGCAATGTTAGAATCTCTAGGTCTCTTCGGATTGGACTTAAACAGCGTCAAACACTGCTCTGAAGTGGTCTCACGGTTGCGCTTGTTGTCCAGAGTGAGTAAACGGGGCATTCATCGAGCAGACAGCTTTCTGATACCCAATACTTCATGCAGGATAAGACCCACGCGGTCTTTTGAGATGCCTACTGTCTCAGCTATCTCGCGCGCCTGCAATCGGTAGTCAGCCAATACGAGATCTTGGATTTTCGAGACACCTGGGCGTGGCTCATCAAAAACCGACCTGCGACGTATAAACTCATTAAACCAATTTTTGAGAAAAGTCACCATACACAGCCTCCAAGCGCTCTTTTTCCATTTTTCGAAAATCAGCGCGCCCACGAATCCGATTAGGCTGAAATTTTGACAGTAGCTGTCTGCGAGAATGTACTACACGATAGTAAATTTCTCTTGCGATAGTGGCCCCATCGGGCGGTCAGGCTAAGTACCTATCGGACCACCCTCGTATGTCTGTCCATAGCTATTTAACTTTTGGAGCCCCACACGGAATATTACCCAAGTTAGTTTAATAACAAAAGAGACATGTATGTAGTCTTTTCTAACCTCAGATTGTATATTTAACCACTCGGTGTAGTTTTTCATTATATTATTTTCTATTTTGTTTCACACAATGTGCCAAAAATTATTGTTGTAATTTTTACTCATATACTCTTTAATTCAGTTATATAATTTATTATTATATTGCATTACTATGTTCGTGTTTATTTTTAATAACAAAAATGATAATATAAAATGTTGAGTAAATAAGGTATTAACAATATCAAACACCAAGAAAACAAAAAAAAATATATGGGAATTGGTCATCGTAACGTGATTGCCCTTTCCAAACCGCCTGTTGGTGATAAACCTTCAAAAATTATATTGATCTAAACAAGAATGTCAGTCCAGTCTATTATAGAATAACGTCTAACAATGCATCCATCATTTTTATCACTAACTGAACCTTGCAGGTTTCGACTATAAGACATGTAGCGTCATGCTCGCGTTGGACCAACAGTCACCTAACATTGCTGCTGGGGTGCACGAGAACAAAAATGAGGATGATATTGGGGCTGGTGATCAGGTGAATTGTGTTTGTTTTCAACAGAATACATAAATTCGTAGAAAAAACAGCTTAACACAATCCACATTCAGCTTCTTGTTTAGCACAGATTCAAGCACTCAATATGATGCCATTTTTTCAAATTATGTGTTTACATTACACCACACATAATAAAAGTCATACTTTCATATCACTAGTGACTAAACATAACTCATCTTTTCACGGTTTTTGGCGGTTCATCACACCATATGGAATTACTAAGCAGATTGACTTACTCTGCCATGTGTGGAGCTGAATATTCGTAATGGAAAACTAATCTTTACCGCAGCTGCCACTCGCTCTTCCACACACAGATGAACTGGCTGTCGAAGCTCAGAGGAAAACTCGAATCGCACGCCCATGACAGGCAAATTGTCATAGTGACACTTGACATACATGAATGTGGAGGACTCATACTTTGACAAATTTCCAGGTGATGAAACAAAACTGGAAAACGTATATCTATGAGTTCACTCAACGGTCCGGGCATAGAGGCCTATTATATGAATATGTGTGGATGCATGAGGATAATTCCTGCAGTTTTACTGTGACTTGTCGAAAACCGTGAAAAGGCCTATAGTTAGTAGTCCCATAGTCGAGATTTGTATTGATCAATATGCATGAATTTGAATTATTCATTAACATATCCTCCACGAGAATGCCCAACCCTAAGCTGATTTTGCACATTGGCAATGTGCATTGTCACAGCCATTTTTCCAAGTAAGGTAGCAGTAATTACCTTAGAAGTGGTATTAGTCCAAGAAAACTCACCCCTCAACCTCCGCGTAATTATTCCTAAAATTTCCGTATTATCAGAATGTCTCAACTGCAGTAAAGGAAATCTCTTGTGCTGCGGCTGTAGGTCCGAAATGTTTCAACCTTAACACCTAAAAGCGGTGGTCGACACTCATATAGTTATAAACATAAGTAATTAGCGGCACCACCGTATATATGATATTCGCGCTGACACGGCTTTCAGCTGCATTGGGTATCTTGTGGTGGAATATTTTAATTAGTGACAAAGTGTAATATTTTTTCTAAAGCCAACATATGTCATTTATACTGACCAAGGGCAACAAAATCTTGGTTAGGCATGAATTTCTATTCAGTCCCTTGACCCCGTGATAGAAGTTAGTAAACAACTAGAATATTTTGCCTCTTATCATATGTACTATTTGACATTGTCCAAAATAGATGCGTTGAGATGTAGATGACAATATTTATATCAATGGCAAAATTATTATGTTTGGTTTCCTACTAAGATTGGTTTACACTAGGGTCAAGCGGGGGACAGTGTAATAAAAGTCATTTTTATTTCTAGAAAAATCAACCATTTATTGTCATATGCTTATTTAGATAGCGCTATCTATGAAACACTAACCTTTTCAAAGTATATATATTGTAAATGGAGAAACAGTTATGAGAAATTCTCATAGATGATCCTACAGTGTCTAGTTTTATCTCAAATAGTTTTTTGGACACAGAAATATAGCATTAGGTAGCTATCTCCAGGTACAATAAAATATGTTTATCAATGTTGAAACAAAACAATAAAAAGGACATTGCATGACGATTGCCAATGATGTGTTTTAGTATTTGCTACTCTTGATTACTGAGATGATGAAGAATACTAGCTGAGGCAATCTTTAAAGAAATTATGTTATAGTTACATAATTACTCATTTTACCACTTCTTCTCTTTAACTGCCATGTAATCGTAGCATATAATTAACACTTTTTTAACCTAACAGGGTTATCGATTCATTTTCTTGAAATCCCTCTATTATCAGTTTACTAGATTCCAAATATATTTCTCTATGCTATAAATATTACGAAAACGCAAACAATTGGTTATCAAAATTACACTTAAAACGAGTCTAGTACAAATTGTTACTAAAATGCATAGATTTGTAACACATTGCCATGATTTTCAAAATTGACTAAGCTTGCATAGGAATGACATCAATCATTGATTATCATATTTTCAATGATGTACAACCTAACCAACAAATCGTCAGAGCTGTTGCCAAGTATACCCTATTTCACGAGTATCCATCACGCTTTGATGTCTACTGAGATGAACAGCTTATCAGCAAGTGACATTTTTGTGTTAGTCTGCGACGTTGGCAATAATGAATCGGGTGTAAATCTAGTAAAACTAGGTTGTAGTGTTTTGTTTTTTGTGTGCAAATAAACTTTTCTAAATAAAAGAACTGTTAGCAAGTACAAAATGAATCTGTAGCTTACAAAAAACCAAAACAAAATACGGCTCTGACTACCTGATGTTGATGGATCCGTCAGAATTATGTGTCCTGTGCCAATATGGGGATTTTTTGTGATATTACTAGATAATCTGCTGTCATTGTACCATGTACTCTTGAAATGGGGTGTAGGTTCACAGTAATTCCCTTAAGAGCAATAAAAACAATATTTGTATCTTGAAGTAAAGTGTTTATTCTTAAACATCAATGTTCCAAGGATTGGTGGGAAAGGTGGCAGTGCTGACTCCTAAAAACGGAGGTTGGGTATTGTCTGGTGGGAAATGTTAAGCAGTGCTTCAACTTTAATTAGAATTGCATTATGGTTTCAAGATCTAGCATGCACGTCTCACATCACCATCATATGCTTGATATATGACAAGTTCTTTCCTTGTGTATGTTAAATACTAAGTACATTCTTATGATACAGGGTTTGATGTTTGGATATGCAACAGATGAAACTGAAGAATGTATGCCGCTAACAGTGGTACTTGCCCACAAACTGAATCAAAGAATCTCAGAGCTCAGGCGATCAGGAGAATTCTGGTGGGCTAGACCAGACTCAAAGACACAGGTAAGGCCATATCTTGTGATTGCAATATTTTTCGCGTCTCCTGACGTGGACATTACTACATTTAGTTGGGAATTTATGCCTATGATGTTTGATTAGTATTTGCTACTCTTGATCGTTTGAAGTGATGTGAAATACTAGCTGAGGCAACATCTTATTCATGTAATATTTATAGACTCTTCTGTATATCTTTTGATGCCAAGAAAAAACTAAATTGCAATAAAGTCTGACTAGGGGATGGTGTTAGAATCAATGTTATTGTCCACGAATTATGTAAATACGTTTTATTTATTCGCACATATTTTTTGCAGGTGACTTGCGAATACCGCTTCGACCATGGAGCTTGCATTCCTCAACGAGTTCATACTGTCGTAGTGTCGTTGCAGCACAGTGAGAAGATCTCCCTGGAAGAACTGCGTGATGCCATCAGAACCAAAGTCATCAAGGAGGTGATCCCTGCCAGGTATTTGGACGAGCAGACGGTCATACACGTCAATCCATGCGGACTGTTCATCATTGGTGGACCTCAGGTAAGAAAACTATATAAATATGTCTTCTGTTATTGCCAATAAAGGTGCATTTCCCATCTGTGACATTCTGTGAACTTGCATGCAACATGCGCCGGCATATTTAATTTTAACTTTTGTCCTTTCAAAATTTATGGGCTGCTATAGCTAATATATTATCGGCGCAAGTAGTAGAACATGCTGCAACAGATTGCAACAAACTTTTAGTATATGTGCCTCCGCATGGTGCGGAGTGAATAATAATGGAAACATACCTTAATATGGATGGACTAGACTACTATAAGCACAAAGCTATACGATATTGTGGATTTCTGGTCTCTTTAGGATGGATCCATATTAACGGTCATCTAAATTATCGCACTAATTATTGCTTACAATCATATTTCTACCATACATGCTCGTCTTTAAACTGATGACTGTTCTGATGTTGACCCAACTTGTAAATACATATGTCAAAATCTATTGAATTCCATCGTAACGCGCGCGCGTAGCCCGGTAGTTTTAGACATTCTTAAAGTTCGTGTATGATGTTGGATGAAGCGGTCGTCATGAAGCCAAAAATGGCACGTTTTAGACGTTGCGCTAGCACGCGTTTGTTTTTTTAATATTATCATACAGTACCCCGCCTAATAGGCAACCCTAATCTCCAGATAAAACCATAATAAAGGATGTAGCATCTGTCAAACTCATGATATGACTGCATAACTTGGAATTTTGTAATCTGCCGAGTTTAAAAAATGCGATCGGTTAATGTAATCGGGTTAATCAGGAGACTTTGGTCGTTTGCGGAAAAGAAATCGTAGCTCTCTCGTTTCGTAACGAAGGTCTGTATCGAAGAAGACGAAGTACGCCGAAAAATGGCTTATCAGTACCTTTGAGGCCCTAAAAGTTTGCTTTTTTAAATCTGGCGGGAATTCTAACAGTCCTATGCTCAAAATGTTTATTTTTCAATCTATATAATTTTTATCTTTAAGAGGTGATTCAATGCATTATTCTAAACAAAAAAGTTCATAATAACATGTCCGAAAATCAGTCTTTTCGAGTAAAGCGAGTCGTAAATAATTAAATTTTCTCAAGCAACTGATACATCGAATTTTTTACGTTTGTATGAAATTATTGGATACTTTTACGCAATTGTTTGTTTCTGATATTTTTTATTTAATAACGCTTTCAGTACAGTACATTTACTTTAAAAAAACATGACAGCTTACCGCTACGTAGCTATACACACCACCAATTCCCGCGATTATCCGTCACTTATTTGAAACGATGCGATACATGAAAAAAACAACATCCGTAAATCACATAAAGTTACAATTAAATGTATTAGTAACAACAACACGCGGTGATACATGCAGTGGAGACGAAGTACGACGTTGCCAGTTGTGTAAGGGATTTTGTTTGTCTGGTTTTCTTCGGAAAATTGTATTTAATAAGCAAGAAAATTATTTTGTTAGAGACAGTTACCTAATAAATAGATGTATTGATACATTTTACGCTATCAGGCATACGAATTTAAATCATTAAGGTGCAAAATTAATTTATTTCATGACTAAAAAGAAATAAGTTCAGCATTTTTTTGCTCCGAAACGGTTGATTTTCGGACATAGCTTATAATGAACTTTTTTGCTTAGAATAATGCAAGGAATCACCTCTTAAAGTTACGAATATTATTTCCCTAACGCCCCGTATATAGTAGCAATAGGGCAGGATAAAGCCGGAAACACGGTATTGAAAATTAGCATAAAGTCGATGAATTTTAAAAAATCTAAATTTATCAACGGAAACGAATTAAAAGATGAAAATACTTGCCTTCTGGGGTCCGAGGTATGGGCTTTCTTATGCAAAAGTCGCCAGAACCGTATCTTCGTTATTTTCGGAAAAGATAGATCATGGACAGCGAAAAGCGCACTTTATACATAAAAAAGTCATTTGAAACATCTGAAATTCGTTTATTCGAAGCGGGTGCCCTAAACGGAAAAAAAACTCTCTCCATGTGATTTATAGTACTCGTCGAGATGTACAAAATATGCCGTGCGAAACTTCTTTTCTCTTTGGCATGAAGGAGATATCGGAGTTTTTACGGAAGTTCGCCATTTTTCTAGGCTGTTTGAAAATTTCTAAAAAAAATCTAAGATGCGAATTAAAACAGGAGATACGCTATAGGACCCGCTCGTCATTTAGCTATCGAATGGGATCGATCTCGAGTCAAAATTTTGATAAACTGCGAAACGTAGTCTATCAAAGTCTTCGTCCTACGCGAAAATCATCCATTTTTTCGACTTTGACCCCCGTTTTTGATCGCGTTTCGTCCTCGTATCTCGACAGTTCGTAAGCACTCGTAAAGCGCCGAGTTTCTAGTTTCCGAAACGGTATCGTTTTCCGTTAACTTTCGCGAACCCGGAAAAACCGCGCCGATATCGAAACGCCCCAATCCAGAAGCGAAAAAAAAATTAAAGATCTCCGCTTAATATTGTCGATGGTCCATAGGCTAACTGACAGAAATTGTGAGATACGATAAAGAGAGGTTCTGTGGCAAGAATACGTTCATAAAAGACAATGGGTATAAAAAATAATGACAATTTTAATAGTGACATGATGTCAAATTCTTCAATATAAGCTATTGCATGTGGATATTCTTTGAGTTTTCTCTGTTGGGATGTGAAATTTCGTACGAACGCTACTGGTAGAAATTAAAAAATGGATACATTGAAAAATTCTTCTTGACATACAGTACATGTATGCCAAATTTGATTAACATATCTAAAGTTGTATCACAGATCTTAATAATGGTGATTTATTTTTGAAAACTTTACCACCCTATATCTCAGAAGTTGATACTTTTAGAACATATGCTCATATGAAGTTTTCTTCTTACAATAGACCCAAAAATCGTATTAGTGACTCATTGTGGAATGTTTCTCGGAAAAACAGTTCTTTTAATTGGTCTGATGGTCGCAAGTGTCCCCTAATCAAACATTTCTGTTGCAGAGCGACGCCGGTCTGACCGGCCGCAAGATAATCGTGGACACATACGGCGGTTGGGGTGCCCACGGAGGAGGCGCCTTCTCCGGCAAGGACTTCACAAAAGTGGACAGATCTGCGGCGTACGCAGCGCGCTGGGTCGCCAAGTCGTTGGTAATGGCCGGCCTGTGCAGGCGCTGTTTGGTGCAAGTGTCGTACGCCATCGGTCTCTCGGAGCCGCTCTCCATCACAGTATTCGACTACGGCACGTCCAAGCTGACGCAAGGGGAACTGTTGAATGTCGTCAAAAAGAATTTCGATCTTCGGCCGGGAAAAATTGTCAAGTAAGTAGAGGATTTGTATCCAGACGAGTATCGATAAACCGCTTCTTTTGAAGATGCAAGACGAAGACTAGACTAGGGCTGCCATGCGTCCGGGATTCCCCGAATGTGTCCTAGTTTAGAGGGCGTGCGGGAGAGGTTTTTAAAAAGCGTCCTCCGATTTCATATATGTTTTGCCAAAAAGAAAAGTGTTCCTAATTATTTCAGTTACCAGACTACCTCGAAAAGAAAATATAATTTTATCGGTAATAACTTACCCCTACACTGGCTAGATCCGGTAGTAGAGGAACGGATTAAGTAAGTAGTAACAACTTGAGTATTTGTTGTGCTGCAAGTCAATTTTGTCAAGAACTGTTTTTCGTAGTGTTTATCTGGGGTGTCCAGGGGAAAATCTCGATTTCAGCCAAATATCCGCGGTTTTTGAAGTTTCGTTCGGCGTCGGCAGTTTAGGTTATGGCAGCCGTACACTAGACAAAAGAAGTTTCATAATCACGAAAATTGATGGCATGTGACATGAACATAACGACAAGCCATTTCATTAATTTGTTTCTGTCTCAATAACTCGGAAAATGTCTTCACAGGTTTGATAAATTGCTTTAAAATTATCTGTTTGACATTGACAGAAATGATGTATACATTCTACAAATAGATCATTATCACATAACTAGGATGTCGGTGAAATATAACCTCATATTCCTGGTGATTTGGTGATGTTTTACATTGGCGACGTTCACTTTATGTATTAGAAGCTAGGAATGTAACAAATGACAATTTTTAGGAATTCGCGAATGCGAATATATACTTCTGATTTTCGCAAATGTTAATGCGAATATTCATTTTTTCTTCTCTGTATACATCAAAACATACTTGAAGGAGAGAACACTGAAGCTTTTATTTTTAAAGATTATGTTTATTAATACATATATTAGTTATTAAATTGCTGTTGAAATCATTCGAATAAAGCAAATACCTAGTTTGCTAAAAATATTTCTACAAGTTTAAGAAAATAATTGCTGGCTCTATTTGCATTTTTTATTTATAAACAAACATTTATAATCAAAGCCTAATAAAAGTAAAAAATAATATTTTGTATCTGTTTGTTCCAAGTTGTTATTCCATGCATTTATTTTACGCACTCACTTTAATTTGTCGTCACTTGCAGCATTGAGGTTGAGTTTACATTGTTTTTTTAACATTGCTTACGTTTATATTTTTGTCGCGTTGCGTGTCGGCAAACAGCAAAAACGCTTAGTCCGGAGTGTAGCTGCATGTCAAATTGGAAAAATTTCTTTTTTTCACTGGTTTGCGGTTTAGACATTTTCTCTGCACTATCAATGTAAACGAAATTTTGATGAGAAATACCCGATTGTTTATAACGCCAAGGAATTTTTTTTTAAATAAGTCTCTGCCTATTACATGCTCTTCTAGCAAAAAATACACGGATATTTCCTATTTTATTCAAGTACGTAAAATTGTTTTCAGATTCCCTTTGTCTAGGTTCATATTCGCATGAATTTCGCAAATGCGGATGCGAATATCAAGAAACATGCGAATATTCATTACATCAGTATTAGAAGTTTTGGTTTTTCATGTTTGTTTTCAACAAACTGCTGGCATTTTGATAATCTAAACATTGAAGTGGCCGAGTTACAAGCAAAAAACAAGAATGAGGCATTTTCAAACTTATTTGACGTTTTAGATGTCCCATTTTCGTGTGTTATATTAGTTTCAAGGTCCTATTTAGGTCCGTGTCGTCAATCGTTCCTGCAATTGTAGGACGCCTTTATAACCTTGATTTTCAAAGTTTTCTACTGTTCCGTGCCAGTGATCTATTTTGAGGTTATGTCACAAATATCTATTTGTATCAAATTGTTCATGCTTTTATTTATACCATCTGTTTTATCAGCCTGAAATTTCCTACAATTCAAAAAGGAAACATTATTTCACAATAGGAGAGTGCTGACGCTGAATCGGAATTCAGAAATATCCCAGCCTTTCTGAAGGAGAGGAAAGACTGTGGAAACCAAGGAGCCCATAAAGATGTCCTACAATTGAAGGAACGACTAACGAGACGGCCGTATCCTACAATTGTAGAATGCCTTTATGGCCTCCTTGAGTGTCAGTGTTTCTCTTCCTCAGAAAGGGGGGGGTATTTCTAGTTGTTTTCTTTTTAATAAACTGTAGGAGATTTCAGGCTGATAAAACACCATAAAAACCAAAAGCATGAACAATTTGATGCAAATAGATATTTGTAACATAACGCCAAAATTGAGCGCCTTCCTGAAGGACATGAAAATCAAGCAGGCCATAAAAGCGTCTTACAATTATAGTAACGACTGACGATACGGCCCTTAGAAGCAACCCCGAGGCGCCCAACAAAGTGCCCCATATAATCCATTTGATCTCTGACTATAGCCACTTACTTTGCAGTCAAACTTTTTGTTTTAACGTGAGGCCCCAATATTAAAACTGATCAATTTTTCCGTCACTTCTACCAATCTTTGGTGAAGCTAGAATGATTGTTTTATGGCCTTATTTTCAGAGAGCTGAACCTGCGCCAACCTATCTACCAGAAGACCAGCACATACGGCCACTTCGGCAGAGACGGCTTCCCATGGGAACAACCAAAAGTACTGCGTCTCCACTGACAACCCTTACCACTTCTCCCCACTTCCCCACACTAACCCCTTTTTGTTTTAGCTCTGTCTGTTTGTCCCCGAGGAAGAAGGGGCAACGAAAACCCGTCTGTGATTGGCGCTCTGAACCTTGACGTGCGCGCGAAGTGCTGCCATCTGCCGTCGTTCGTCGGAAGCCAGCACTCGGCTCGAAACACACTGTGGATCGAAAAACGGCCACGCCACTGCGTCCCGATACATTCCACAGTGGCGCCCCCATTTTTATTCGATCGTAGAGGGCGTCGCTGCAATTTAGTGTGAGGTGAAAAGTTCAATTTCAAGTGTCTGAGCCCTCAGGATGGAGATCTAGATACTTCACGATCTAATAGGCGTAGCTCCCATATCACTTATCAACCCCAATAAAACCATGGTTCAAACTCAGTTTAAATTAAATTTGTTAACAGTGCCGAACCGTCGCTGATGTGTTTAATCTCAGTTTGAAAACATTTTTTCGACGAACTCGACAAACAAATATCTGTGGACAAATGTAGAATGTATTGTATCTGCATTTACTTGGCCACGTTTCCATGGAGATGTCCTATCCAAACCCAGACGGCTTTCTCATTAGCAGTTCCAAAAATCAGGTATATTTTTCCAAAACAAGGCAAAAAGTAATGTTTTTGACTTTTTGAGAATCAATACTAAGTAAACAAAAAAAAATCCTCAAAGGTTGCAATCAAATTTTATTGGGAATGTATTCCAGTTTTCGGACTTCTCTGTGCGATCACTGGTTACCGAGATATCAGTGATCGATGACAAAGGGATCCCTTTTCATTCGAAATCTGGTATCTCCGCGCAAAATGATCATATCTAGATTTTAAAAACAAAATAATGAAGCTGAATAAACGTAAGTTCCCCGAGGAGCCGCGGCGCACACTTTGAGAATCACTGGATGATCCGATTGATGTCATGACCTAACAGAAAAAATAAATGTTCAGGTCCATGGACCAAAATGAAAATGTCAAAAATTTTTCAAAAACTTTCCTATTAGAATTGCATGTGAACCGTTACTCCTAAAATTTTTCGGGAAAAACATGAAAACTACAGCTTCAAATTGCTTTTTTTAAGTCTCAATAGGACCATTTACACCGAAATTCAACTTGCCCAAAGATCATCGAAAAATTTCACTTTTTCTTGTTCGTTTAATTTTTTTTGAGTAGTGTAGTTTAACGCCTTTCTCTGTTGGCGAATCTGCATTTGAAGCGCGAGTTTATTGGTATAAATAGTGTTATGGGAGCTAATCCTATGTTGATTATCCATACTGATGTCTCGTTATTTCACTCGCACATTGTGTTGTGTTTACGAGAAAAATAACAATTTGGAAAAGAGCATTTCTGTATACACTCCGGACTGTATCTGGAACGAGCGGACCGTTTCTCGTGTTGAAAATCCTGTAGTAATAGGAAAGGTCATATTAAGTACTACTGTTCAAAGATACATTAGAGCATTGGTGTTAGAATTTACGAATCGGTAAAACCCAGTAGTAAGTCACCACTGGTGAGATGTATGTTATACTGATTAAGTATTATATATGTGTAATTTAGCGAAAGCGTAACATGTTCAATGGAAATGCATCGGCGATTTTTTTTTTATAGGTAGGTACACATACTTTTTACTGTCTGAAGAATAACATATTCAATATGAAAGTGCTCGAAGTTTTTTTTTCACAGTCGATTATCGAGTTTGTTGCTGTTTATATCATTGTAATTTTGATTAACGTTAAGGTGAATTTATAACCCTGGGATAACTTTTGTCTGGTGATTTTCATAAAAATATCCTACACTTTTCTAACGTGATAGAAAAAACAAAATTCACAAAAAGCATCTGAATTGTATATGCTTTGCAAGCTAATCCAATAAAAAAATACACTTTTGACAATATTGAAAGTGTGGTCGTTTGTTTCAATATCTGCCTATATATTATGCAAATTATGTAATTATTTGTGCTATTTTTGTTGAACTTGAGACAGTTTCGGTATAATTTTAAATCGCTTTTGGATATGAAAAATCAAACGTGCTCGTATTTATTGGTTTGTATTTATTTACTGATTTTTACAAAATATTTTCAATTTTTGTCCTACTGGGAAAAATACTGTGTACTTGCCCCCAGTCTTTGTACAACAGGCATTTTAGTGAAACTGCCAATGGTGAATATTAGCTTATAGCCATAATTTTTTATGTCTGTAATAGATGAATTTAGGAGAAATAGCTGAACATAGATCATAGGAAAAACAAACTATAGATTTTAACGTGTGCAGTGATTTATGAAATTTTTGTCAGGTTATACAATTATTAAATGGTTTTATTGACAAAACGGAGTAATTATAATATTAGTACATAATTTTATGACAACTGGTGTAATTTTTTGTATTTATTAGTCATCCCATTATTGTGTGACCATTATTATGAATGCTTTTTGTCCAAGTTATAAATATACATTTCGAAAACTATTTTTGTTTACATTGCTGGAAACCCTACCCCAACGCAAATTCAGATTACTGGTCTAAATATTTAAATTCTTCGATAGTCGTATAAATGTATGGATCTTAATTATGTTGATTTAAAGACTACGTAAAACAAACACAGGGAGATATGAAAAAGGTACCCTGATCCAGGTATAAATGGCATCGGCGAGAACACGTCTCTCCAACTCTGCTGTCCTGATACACGATGTGTATTAGTCGAAATCTGCACACCAATCCATCAGGTGTGCAATTTTTTATCAGGATCACAGAAGTGCGAGGAGGTATGAACACGGTACTGTGCTGCGATATCAATGGCACTGGCGGAAACCCCTTGTTTCTGCGATCCTGGTACAAAAACTGTAATCTGCACATGGAGCCGTCAAACTTTCTCTGTAGAAAAGTCGAAATTCATCAGAAGCAGGCCATCGGAATCACATAAATGCTGTTTAAGTATGGAAAAGGTACTCTGCTCCCGATATCAATAGCACTGTCGGGAAAAAATACTAGGAGACATGGAGAAAATACGTTGTTCCCTATGGCATCGGCGGGAACACCTCTTGTCGTTTCTGCGATCCTCATATAAAATCTGTAATGGTCGGAAACTTCAACCCAAGCTTCCGACTTTCTTCGTAGAAGCATCAGAATCAGTTTGTTATTAGGATCACAGAACTGTGAGGTGTGGAAAATGCTATCTGCTCCCGATATGAGTGGCACTGGCGGAAACATTTCTCGTCGTTTCTGCGATCCTGATAACATTCGAAATCCGCACCTATCGAACTTCTTCGTAGAAGCGCCGAAATTCATCAGAAACAAATTCCTATCAGGATCGCAGAAATGTGAGAATGTGGGGAAAATGTGATCGACCCCTTATTTCAATGGCACTTGCTGGAACATATCTCGCCGTCTCAACATTCTTGTACACCAATCCATTAGGTGAGCAATGTTCTATCAGGATCACAGAAGTGCGAGGAGGTATGAAAAATAAACTCTTCTGGCGAGAACATTTCTGCCGTTCTGGTACAATATATGTATCAGTCAAAATTTGCATCTCAATCCAGCAGATCAGGAGCTATTGTCTACCACGATCACGGAAGTGCGAGGAGTTTTGAAAAAGGTACTATGCTCCGATGTCAATGGCACTGGCGGGAAGACCTTGTTTCTGCGATCCTAATACAAAAACTGTAATAGCCGTAATCTGCACCTGGAGCCATTAAACTTTCTCCGTAGAAAGGTGCAACTTCATCAGAAGCAGTTTGCCATCGGGATCACAGAAATGCTGGTTAAGTATGAAAAAGGTAATCTACTTCCGGTATCAATAGCACTATCTGGAGCTCCTCTAGACGTTTCTGCAGTCCTGATACAAATTTTGTAATATCCTTTATAGTCAAAGACTAGAAATTCGTCAGAAGCAGTTGGCTGTCACGATCAAAGAATACTATAAGGTACGGAGAAAATACGTAGATCTCGAAGGCATGTGAGAAAAGACCTTTTTTTGTTTTCTCGCTTCTCATTGAAAAGCTTGTCGGAAACTGCAATCCAAGCCGTCAGACTTTCTTCATAGAAGCATCAGAACCAGTTTCTTATAAGGATCACAGATCCGTGAGGAGGCGTGGAAAATGGTATCTGCTCCGGATATCAATTGCACTGGCGGAAACACCTCTCGTCGTTCCTACGATCCTGATAACAAATCTGTAATATTCGTAATCTGCACTTCAACCTGTCAGACTTTCTAGAAGCACCGAAATTCATCAGAAGCTAATTAAGACCACAGAAACTCGAGGTTGTATGGAGAAGATACTCTGCCACGATATCGATGGCACTTGTGCAAACACCACTCGTCATTTATGCGATTCTGATACACAATCTGTAGTTGCCAATATTTGCACCTCAATCCATCAGTCTTTCTCCATAGAAACGGTAAAATTCATCAGAAACCATATCCTAACAGGATCACAGAAGTGTGAGAAGGTGTGGAAAATGTGATCAACTCCTTATATCAATGGCACTTGCTGGAACGCATCTCGCCGCATCTTGATACAAAAATCTGTAATAACAACCAGGACTTGAGCTTCAAGCCATAAATAAGACTTTTAGTAAAAGCATCGAAATTCATTAATTTTTTTCATGTACTCGACGACATCAAGTGCTTCCGTTTGAAGTGTCCAAGAAATCTGACTGTATCCTTTAATCCTCAGCGACATCCACTAATCCCTCTGCCCGAGATGTTTGCCATGGTAATTTCAACGGAGTATATCCACTAAACCATCTGGTTACAGATGTTAGCGAAATAAACTTGCAGCATGAATTCCATCAGACTGTATCCTTATTCGATCTATCCGATGATAGGCCCAAGCATGAGGTCGAAGTTGTTACGTGTTAATGATCAGTCGAGTTCCATCTCATCATGTTTCGTTTCGTGATGTCCCATCTCTATTCTGTCAACCTGTCATATATTCTAAAGCCGATCACAGACGTTGTTCCTTTTTACGGTCTTACCCGGCGTGCCGACTGTAGTTGTGATTCTGTAGATCGTAAAATTCCGTTTCAAGGAGACCCGCAATTTCAGATATATTGACTAATTTATAGAAGGTTAACCACACATAAAAGACAATAAGTGTTTTCAATTTTTTTGTCAATTCAATTACAAATGACTGAATTTTGTTTTCGGATATTTAGGCTTAACAGAATCGCAGCCTTTAATTGCCGCTGCTGTCGACGTGTGATTTGATTTGAGGTTAACGAAATGTCAAACATAATAATGTTTTGATGTTTTGGTAAAACGAACACTTAATATCTGTTTAAAACAATTTTCCATTCGAGAAATATGTCTGTTATAGAACGTGTCAAGATCCTAGTTTTAGGCGACACAGGAGTTGGAAAAACGTCGTTTGTAAACTTGGCTGCTCATAATGAACCTCTTCGATCCCCTAGTTGGACTGTTGGATGCTCAGTGGAAGTCAAGCTACACGACTACAAAGCTGGTACAAAAGACCAGAAGACATATTTCGTGGAGTTTTGGGATATAGGTGGCAGTCAGATACATAGAAATGCCAGATCCGTATTCTATTACCCTTGCCATGGAGCAATTTTGGTACATGATCTCACTAATAGCAAATCAGAAAAGAACTTGAACAAATGGGTTCGAGAGATTGTCACTAAGAGAGAAAGGAAATATTCTGACTATGAGGCCCCAGATATGTCTAACCCTGTCAGCCCAAATACAAGTATTTACATTGATAAGATCATAGATCAAGAGAGTATGATAGGAAATAGTAACTTGCCTTTCCTAGTAATTGGTACCAAAGTAGATCAAATGGAAGCTAAAAAAACGCTCAGTAGTTTCATTGCCAACCACTTGGGTGTAGATGAGATAGTTTTAGATTGTAGACAATCTCGTTATTTAGCTGCAGGTACTTCAAATGCTGTGAAACTGTCTAGATTTTATGATAAAGTGATTGAAACTAAGTTGCGGATTGGTAAAGATTCATTTTCTGAGAGGTTAGGAACTGTTACGATCCCATCAGCTATTTCACCCAAATTCTATTCACCACATGCTGAATAGTGGTTAAGAATTTACCTTAAGTTACATTTACCTGCTCTGAAATACTTTATTGCATTTATTGAGTATTTTATATGGATATATTTTGTTACTTATATACTTAAGATGATACAAATATAGATATATGAAGTTTGCCCCAAAAGCTTGTTTTCTAAACCTGTAATAATTTTGTTAAGAATTTGCACTTGAAAGAATAAAAAATATTTACTACTTAGCCAGATTGGTTATAATATTGAAGTCAGTAACAGCGCAGCTAGCCATCACCCCACTCAACCTGTAACCGTCAGACCATACGAACGTTTTATTTTGCACCAACTGTTACCAGCTGCAATACTGTGACGTCGTACTCTTGAAACTGTTCCTAACACAATACATTGTTTTTAAGTAATGCTATGAACTTCCGATGACGTTTTGTATCTTTGATGTGTCACTAGTAAACGAATCTAGTCAAAATACAGATTCGGATTCGTTCGTATAAAGGGCAAACAAAGGCAATGGAGCCAGAGATGATACGCCCAGGGCCCCTAGATCCAATAAAAATATCTTTGAGAATCATTATGCTCTAGCTCTGTATCCATTGTATTCACCTATGGGCGATTTTTTTTTGTTCTTCAACAATCACTCTGGCAGTTCTCAAACCATTCATTTGCCCTTGGCCCTGGACACAGGTATAACAAGCTAAAAACGTATAAGAACAACAAAAACAATTTATTAACAAAGTTATTACAAAGAAAAATTCCGTTTCAGTATCTATGTACAATAATGAGATGGCTTTTTCATTAATATGATGAATATGTTTGACAAATAAGTAATCAGTAGTTTTCAATTTCTATAACTGAAACTGAACTAAATTTAACATCTTGATTTATTAAGTTGGTAATGTTAGCATTGAAGTAATCACTGATGTTGACATGTTTTATTCCACCAAAATAGTCAAGCACATCAATTTGATCAAAGTTTACCTTTGCCACGTAGAAATCGTGATCTGCAACAGATTAATGGGAATATTGTTTACCAAGAAGGAAAGAATAGATAATATAAAAGGTGGGACTTTCCGCTTTAACTTCCCACATTTAAAATGAATAGAATTCTGGTACACGAACATTTTTGGACCATAGAATTTTGAAGTAATGAAAAAGTTGAAAAAGGACCCTGCGAAAAAATATTTGGATACATCCAAAAATAACTCAAAAACCGTCAAAATGTTAGATACTTCTCTATTATTCATCAAGCTTTAATGGCAAATATACAGCGGAAATTTATTGGTTGGAAGAGCACAAATATGTATATACTGACTCCAACAGGTTGGCATACACCCTCCTCACACCCAACAAAGCTCGACAATTCTTTTTGAAAATGATTAGAAGCTCCTGTTATGTAAAAAAGAAGCTTAATTGATTTTTATTTATTTTTTTCGTTTTTTGCTCTCCGCTCCACCGCCATTGGACCGATTTTCAATTGCTACAAAATATTTTTGCCCTTGCTATAGTATAATAGTAAGCAGTACTTTCCATGTTATAGACGGGGCAATGATTAGCGGACAGAAAGACCGACAGACAGAAATGAGTGACACGGCTTTTGTGATGTAGATGTCACGTAACATCCAAAACATCTCAGTTTCAAAAAATTTATGATTACAATACTTATAAATAAATTGTAATAAAATGCCCTAATATGTTTCTGAAAGTGACTATACCTGTTGGCCACTGCTTCATTGATGGATGCCTCGCAAAAAGGGCATCTTTGCCAAATCTATACTCATCGGTATCTTTGGGAACATTCACCAGTCTACCAGTGCTTATCACCTTGGCACATCTAGGATCTTGGGGGTCGAAGCTTTTACTTTCGCAGTATCGTGTCTCCGCTAAGGTTGCCATTATTGTTACACGGTTATCGCTCTGCAAATTGGTAGTGTAAATCAAATAAGAGTTTTTAACTAGTCTGACCGATGTCAGACAGCTGTTTCAAAAATACAAATTAATACTGCGATCTTTGATTCGAATTTTTACGCGATCACAAACATAACAATCTACCACGTCCAAATATATATAAGAGATACAGATCTTTAACGGCGATCACATATTCATAAGTTTTAATAAAACAATTGATTGACGTATTCTTCAAGAAGATGCCCAACCCTATGCTGTATTTGGATGTTTACATACAATTCCCATCGTCACAGGCATGTTGGCAAGTAGGATCGCAGTGCTTCCCTTAGAAGTAATAATTAAAAAAATCGTTTCAACCAAAATGAAACATCGACCATTCGAAAAAAAGATCACCGTTCAACAGCCCCCGTAAAAATAAATCCCATAACATGTGTCAGTAGCATGAGACGTGGCAATGTTAACACCATAAGACAGTGATCGACACCTTGTAGTTGGCGACACCACAGTTCACGGTTTTGCACCGGCAAGGCATTCCCTTGAATTGGGAGGAATGTGTTAATCAATGATGAAACTGATGAGAACTAATAAGAGAATCCAATCTTACCTCGACATCTTTTCCGGAAACATCCATGCTCGTCATGTAAAGATAAGTGACACCAGTGGATTTAGTCATAGGTCCATCACTCGAAGATTTCAGACCAACAAATGGGTATCCCTTAATTTTTTCTTGAGTGGAAATTGTTGCAAGTGCCACCCAATCTACGAAAAAACACAAGCACAATGATATCACCGTTATTTGAAATTTGTCGACAATGTGGATGTTTCAAAAGTTTTATTTTGATAAAGTTTGGATGTTAGTTACTCAATCACACCAAAATGACTGAACGGATCTGGATGAAATTTGGCACAGAGTGTTTACATTACAGTCTGTAAATAGCAAATAGGCTACTTTTTATCCCAGGAAAACCACTAATATAAAAGAGAAACTTTGTAATATATGCATGGGAGACCAGACTATGACAAAATAATATTTTTTCTTGATAAAAGAGCTCCTGCTTTAGGATGCTGTCTGGACAAAGCAACATACCTGTATTATGAATAATGTATCTTGCCATAAGTGCCGCTTGCCATGGTTGTGGAGGATTTTTCGGTATTACCAACACTCCCTCCACCGCAAGTAAAAAACAATAAAATACAAAAAGTTTGACCTAAAAAGCAAAAATATGAAAATCAAAATACGTACACAGTACACTCGTAGGTAATATAACTTTGAAATAATCTACTACGGATTGATATCCCCAAATAAGCTGTTTGAGATCCAGACCACAAATCAAAACAAAATATTTAACCATGATGTGTTTACCGAAAAAACTTCAAGTACAACATATTTTTGATATTTTTTAAATTATCCCTGGCTGCTTTTTTGAGGATGTACACTTACGTTCATATTTCGAAAAAATACACTACATAAATCGTTGCGATCTAAAGCAGAATGACGTTCTATATATGTTTAACTTGGATGTATTCATAGGTATGGGTCAAAAGGTCAGTTTAACAACAAATGATAATGAGTAAGTTTATTTGTATATAGTCACTCGTTTAATCTTCAGTCGTTCTTTAAATGTAATAGTTCTATGCATATTTTGAAAACGTGGATATGTCTAGAATATCAAAAAGAGCGGTATAACTCAATCCTCCCGAAAATCAGCATAATAATAACATTTATCGAGCAATTCAAACATATATTTATTGAGGGGGAAATATAGTCAGGGATCCATGCACCATGAAAACAGATGCGTAGATTTATGGAAAAAACGGCAAATTGCAATCAGAAATTACTTACCCTTCCGGTCGTGCTTATGTTGGTAAATACAATTTTACTTTTATGTATTTATTCAACACCCTATAAAATTTGTAAAAGTGAAACTACCGGCCAAGTAAAATATTTTTATTCAGCGTTTATAGCAAACTAACAGTTTTTTGCAACAATTATATAAATATTCACATTGAAACAGCTTTTTTAACCGAAAATTTCGAAAATAAGTTTAAAATAATTTTTTATATAATAAATCTGAGATCTTTTTAAAAGTATTACGCTTAAATTTAACAATATAACTTCTAACACATATATCAGTAGCACAGCAATTTTTTCCATTAACAATTCCATAACATATTTTACGACAAATGATGGGTTATAAGAAAAAACTATATTTTGAACCCAAAACTAAGTTTAGCTTAGCTTTCATACAAAAATTGGACATATTGTGGTATACTTATCAACAAATTTATCTGTAAGCCAAAGGACCCCACACAAAACATGGAAAATAGGCCCCAGTCGATTTTTCTGTATATTCAGTATGATATATTTCTCGTCTTACTGCCCTTATTATTACGTACCGTCCTCCAATTTTTACTTATGAGGAGAAATTATGCTGCATTAGTGCTTCAGCTGTGAGCAACGTTGGTCTAGCGTTAGATGAAGTAGAAGTTATAAGCACAAGGAATTTAGTCATGTTTTAGAAGAACAATAAAGTATCGACTATGGATATCTTATCAACAAGTTTATGAAAATAACCAGGATTTACCTGATGATCATACAATAACTAATAAGCATTATTGCAGATGTAAATCTTGCCCTTAGAAAAAGTTGATCTAAATCGTTCGATATGTCGGAAACAGACTAAATCCAAAAACTCAATTAATCGTCAATAAATTACAATTCCCTAAAGTCATGTTCAAGTTGATGCACTTTTTCCTCTTTTGCCTTCAAAATTAACATGACCTTGTACAGGTCATAATCAGAGACAATTACTCAGCCACGTCATCGTTTAGTGAATATTTTTGAAATGTTAATGAGTTTGATCTTAAATTGACCTTGTAACATTATGGCCAACATATCTCGCAACACCCCTTCCTAAAAAGTCTTTAAATGAAATACTTTCTTCTGTGCAACGTTCTCTTGGTACTTGGTCTGAAAACTACAAACGACACATTCATCATTGTTGTAAGTCGGTCAAGCATCCAAGTATTTCTCAGAAACTAATCCTAGGATTGCTCGGAACCATGAGAACTTTTGTTCAGATAAGCGAAAAATATATCACACAGAATTTTTAGCAAAGCCGCCTGGGATCTATTTTCCATATACATATTTTGTGTAGGATCCTTTTTCCGTGACAGAAAACATGACACAAATTTTGACAGCTTGATGAGCTGATTCAAGCTACTTTAACAAAAACACATGTTTCCCTAAATACAATACAGAAACATCGTTGCATACAGTTCCTGTCTCCTTTGAACTTATGTACGATATTTTTATTGGGAAAAACTGGTTTTAACCACGTCGTTCTTTAAAATAAATACACGACACATATATGATTCCGCCGAATTTGTACACCAAAATCCGTAAATTGGAAATACAAAATTGTTTTCGTGAGTAAAGTACATATCCACATATCGATTTTTTCAAAAATTCCTATGGGCCGAGTGATGTCAAAACGAGACGACCGAGGCTATACTACACATGGCACAGTATATCAATGATAACTGGCACACAGGAAATTGTGATATTCCAAACACTACAGTGGCAGTTATGCATTGAAGAGAGTTCCTATATATACCCAAAAACATTAGAAGTGCTACGCCTAGAAAAAATAATTTCTTAACTTAATAACTTGTTTTTTATCAACATAATGACTATATTTAAAGCATGCTGTGGCAACATTGTCAACGTTTTATCTTTGTTTTTGTTTACCTTTGTCAAAATGTTAACTCTTAGTTTTTGAGACGGAAGCAGTTTTAGAGAGCTGAATAGTACAGATATTTTTAGTTATTGCCCTTTCATTTACTAGTGTTAAGCATAACAAAATGCCTCGAGTTCGAAGACGTCCAAGTTATCACTATGTTAGCGACTTTGACAGAGGTAGAATTATCGCCTATCGAGATGATGGTTTGTCCTATCGCGAAATTGGCCGCCGTGTTAATTGTACTGCAATGACGGTAATGCGTGTGTGTCGTATGTTCATAGAAGAACGTAGAGGAACACGAAGAAGGCCAACTGATCCACCGAGGCGTGCCACAGAGTGTCGAGATAGGCGCTTCAGACAACTAGCCCTACGAGACCGTTTTGCTACTACGCGTCAGATCGCTGACCAATGGTTTGGAGAAGTAGGTAGACCTGTTACTCTGCGTACACTCTATCGCCGCATTCAAGCCTTAGAACTTTTTTCATACCGTCCACGGTTAGTGCTTCCTCTGACTGCGGACCTCTGTCGTCAACGTTTGAACTGGAGCAGAGAACGGCAACATTGGGAGGCAGAAGGGCATAATGTCATCTTCAGCGACGAATCGCAATTCTGTCTAGGTACGCACGATACAAGGGAAGACGGCTAGATGTCTACAGGCGTGTATTCAGAGTTGCGGGGTTGCCCAACACATTACTAATTTTTTTCTTATTACTTGGCAATAAAATTTCGTGAGAATGTTGTCGTTTCATACTAGATGTAAGACTACCTCACTGCCAAAAAGTCAAGTTTGAAGAAATTATTGTTTCTGGGTGTAACATTTCTAATGTCACTGAGTATATTTATGATGAGAATTTCGATTCAATTCAATGTTATCATATATTTTCGATGGAGTAGAGCTCATATAGATTGTCAAAAAATTTCGTCAACAACATATCTGAAATTATACCAGTTTGTCAATATCTCAAAACCATGCTAGTTGGATCATCATCTCATAAGCGTTATTAACCATTTACTATCTTTCCGTCGTCATAACACAGACAACTCTATATTTTACATATATCTAGGTTAAAGCTTTTAATATATTCGTCGCATGTACATGCCCCATTGTATGATGTTTTTACGGGAGACAAGGTTTTTGAAACCAGACCTAGAACTAAGAGCCGTATGACACGATATGAAATCTGATATATGCAAAATTTATACGGTGATTGGCAACCTGGCAAAAGTAAGTGAGGCTTCAGAAAATGACAATGGGAGTTTGGAGATCTACACTGCTACTTTATATGTGTCAGCATATCGGTACTTGTCAGATGTGAACGTTTTGACAAGTCGCCATACTTCATGGAAAATTTCATACCTTGCCAGGCGACCCTAAGTCGATAAAAATATGCCGCAAGTAGGAATGGACAAAAGTACCCGGTTATCGGATAAAAAAGTTCAATAACCGGAACCAAGGTTATTTTTGTTTATCTACAAAAGTCACAATGAAAATTAACGTCCTAGATATCCCCGCCCCTCCCGCGGACTTCAATTACCAATTGCCGATAACCTCCCCCCCTTAAAAACAAGAACTAACAGATTTCTAAATCCACTTCTCTTTTCGATTAACCGCACAATCAGTTAAATTCGGTTCGGTTAACTGGTACAGGTTAAGAAATAAACGAATAATCTATAACCGGTTTTTTTTTATCAATAACCGCCCATCGCTAGCCAAAAGAATTATTCCGATGTTGCCAAACAGTGTCGCTGCAATACTCCTCAAACACAGTGCACTATTTGTACGTTGATATTTTACTTTCAGGGTAATGGGATATATTGTTTCAGTATTCATATGTATCATACCACTATGACCAAAGTTCGTTAAATGCTTGTATTGCTGCTAAACCAAAAATGTTACAGGTCGATGACTTATCTTAAGGAAGATTTACAACGTTTGTGCGCTTGGTTTCTTCATTATATACTAAAAATATAATGTCATTAAGAAACACATACTGCATTTCAGAAAAGTACTATATCTACGCACCCTGAAAAAGTCTTTGTGACGAAAAATGCTCAATTTTTCGAGAAATGCGATTTCTGGGTGCAGACTTTTTTAAAAGATAACATACGACATATAGCCGTTAGTCATATTATATATCTTTAGCTATATGTTGTCAACATGAAGTAACATATAACTATACAATTCATAACTGTCCTTCCTGTTTTCAATAAAGATACCTCTGATAAGTTATGGTTACACCGATTTGATGAAAGAAATATTGATATCTAATAAAATTATAGCACACACAATAAAAGTAGTAATAATAAAATACGACACGATCTTACTGACTATGGACCAAGTAGCGATTGTAAATATGAACGAAATATCACAACATCATTACAAATGATTGCAAAAAGGTAGTCAAAATGTCAGTAAAGATCATTTAATGAATGCAAAAGAATATACTACAGAGTGATTGATATATGGAGTTGGAAATACTACAGATATAAACACTGAGTAAATTTTGTGCTGTGGTTCTTGCGAGTATGTATTTGCTAATAGACGACTATTCATGAAAATAAATTCCAAATGACGCTGCAGCAAAAACGTACAATCGCTACTTGAAATGTGGGTTCTTGAACAAAACATTATATATATGTTGAAGGTTTATATAGTGTCTTCTAGAAGGGAAAATAGCATCTTTTAAAAATAATATATTATTCATCGATCCAAACCAAATAAGTTTTGTATGTAGGAAACGTCAAATAATTTTTATTTAATTTATTATAAAATCGGGTTATTAAAAGATGGCACTATAAAAAAAATTGGAGCTGTGAAAGGAAACTCAAAATTTTAGGTTTTTGTTGCGATTTCAATCATTTTAAAAAAATAAAAGATCTGCAAAAATCAGATTCCTGGACTATGATTTTCCATCTCAAAATTAACTTCCTGATGCAATTTTTCAATCACACATAATTGTTTTACAAGGATGACCTTTTTGATAATACCAGTAAAAACCAAGCTTGAATAATATTGTCTGGAAAACTTTTACTTTACATTAAATAGTTTCTTCTGTAGTACAGCATTCAAAAAAAAACATCAATTTCATTACATTTATCACAACTCTCATTTTTGTTACTACTTACGTAATTTTTTCCAATGGGTACATACATTTAAAAAATAATAAAATATTTAGATTTGAGATGCAACAAAAGGTAAGCATACCAGTGTCATATAATGCATAAGATATTTAAAAAACTACACGTTCTCGATACTTGAATGATTTGGTAGATATGTCATTTCAAAATAGGGAACTTGCGTTTAAGTAATATGGTAGTAGTACTAGACAAGATGGTACTGCAATTGTCAGAATTGTCCGAAATATCACCGTAATTCTCGAGAAAAGTAAACACCTTGTTGTTTCTAAACTGATGTACCTTTTTACAATTGCAACTCAAATCTATCAAAAATATTACACAATTTAAAACTCACGTCATCACATGGCTCTATAAGGTCCTTGCAACTTCAAGTATTGTATAACCAACGAAGGCCCCCCTGCAACAATCTCCTGCGGTATTTGAGATAAAGGGCAATTTTCGATACTCATGATTTGAAGATTTGAGCAGAGGGCTAACTCAAAAGGAAGATTATGTAATGTCGGGTTGTCGTTTATATACAACGACTCCAGGTTTTCTAGCGTCCCGATTTCCTCGGGCAGAAAAGCAAGGTTGTTTTCTCCAACGCTCAGGTAGACGAGGTTCGTCAAATGTCCAATCGCTCTGGGCAAGCATGTGAGCTGGTTGGACTGAACAATGAGTCTTTGTAAGTCTTTCAGGTAGCCGATTTCGTTTGGAAGTTGCTCCAAACGGTTCTCTTCCAGGTCTAAGACTCGCAGTTTGCGTAGGTTGCCAATACTGGGTGGAATGCGGCGGAGTAAATTGTTTGATAACACCAACACCTGGAATAAATTTAGAAATCAATTCACCGTGGCATGAATCATTGATTAACGTATTCTATCTGAAGATAGCCAATCATAAAAGGGAAGTGGAAGACACTAGCACCATCTATGAGACAATAGAAGAGTATTAACATGAATTTAGAAATCTACTTTAGAAGAGTTAGCGAGTCGGTTCTGTCACTGTCTCATAGATGGCGGTAGGATCGCCAAACAGTTTTAGGTCTTTATAATATTATATCTTAAATGGGCATCTTTAGATGGAATAAGTTAATCATCTATGAGATAGTAGCAGAACCAAACATTATTTTCAAATTACATTTTTGAATTTATTTTTGTATTCTGCTACTGTCTCTTAGATGGCGCCAGTATCGTTCAAATCCCTTTTTGCATGCTGGACTCGGTTCTTAAGGTAAAGCAGGTTAATCAATGCATGAGTAGAAAAACCACTCATGGTCTTGACCGATACAATTTAACGTACTTCCGGTTATTACGTACTTATTTCATTTGACCCGCCCAAATCGTGTTGTAATTTTACTGGATATATATAGTATGCTTATTAAAATTTTATCTCCGTCTATAACGTTCAATATTTTCACCCATTTAGTAGTCATATTCTGGTTATAACGTACAAACGTGCCTTATAAACAGAGTAATTCTCCGCCTCTGCCGGGGATTCCCATTAATCGATACTGTGAAGTTTCACGGCTGTCGCGATGAGGCAGGAATGCCGCCAGCGCGGCACCGGGGATTTCCAGTAATCGACTCTGGGAGTCTTTATAGCGCGAAATGAGATGTCAGGTAGTTTTAGATTGGACGTTGCATTTAACTGTGCGAATTTTTAGTATTTATTGTTTTGTTAAAAAGACAGCAAAGCTATACGTTTGAAAGAAATTATGGGCATCATTAAAAGTATCGAGAGTGGCATCGCCAAATCGGAAATTGCGAGAAGGAAAAATATGGCAAAAACAACAATTTCAATCGTGAAAAAAATCAAGCAAGCAAGAATTAAGAAAATTAGAACCGTACGTCCAGACGTGGATCAAGCTCTTATACGATGGTTTGAGGTGCGAAGAATAGAAAATATTCCTATAAGTGGTCCAATTATAAAAGCAAAAGCGGAAGATTTATCCAAGGGATTACACAGTGGCGATTTTAGGTACACGTTTTTTTTGACATTATGGTGGTTTTTTTGACATTATGTAGGTTATTCTACAAGATGTTAACTTAGCACTTAGTTGTATGTGTTGCCTGAACGTCATGAGGCTTGTTATCAATCTTTGGTTTTGATGTGATGTAAAATCTGCTTCTGAGATGGCATTACTGGGGGGTGAAAGTTGTATGTGTTGATGATAATTACATTGGGTTCTTGTCTCAAATACACTTAATTGAGATTCAAAGCTTGAAATTAGTTGCGCAGCCACTTTTTCTTATCCATTCTGGATATTACATATACCAATTTTTTCAAAAATGAGAGAGATAAGGAGAAGAAATTGGTTTGCGCAAATATGACAGGTAGTGAAAAATGTAAACTTCTTGTTATTGTTAAATACGAACGACCGAGATGCATAAAAAATATTAAAAACTCGCCTATCATTTATGAATCGAATATACGCGCATAGATGACTTCAGACATTTCTATTAATGATTTGAACGTGTGGGATGAAAAACTAAGACGTCAAAAAATTAAAATATTGCTTCTAGTTGACAATTAAAAATTATAATCGTAGATATTTTTTGTATCGCCTAATCCGAGCATTGATAATGAGGAAACTCTCAACATAACAATTTTAGACTCGATAAAATTAATTGCACAATCATGGAATGAAGTTTCAAAAAACACTATTGAAAACTGCTTTCAACATGCTGGTCTAGTGAAATCGATCGACAAGATTCAGATGATGACTTGCCTCTGAATCAGTGGTACGAGAAATACAAAAGTGTTGATGATAATGATTGGAACGTCCCCAGCGAAGTCACTGCCCAGACGTAACTACTGAAAAATATCTTCCTGAACTAGATAATTTTACGACCATCGACGATAATTTGGTAGCAATGGAGAACTTAACGGATTGTGAAGTTGTAGAGTCAAACTATTCAACGAATGATCTAAGTTCCGATAACGAAAGCGGCGATGATGATGGACAAGTGATCGAACCAGTCATTCTGAAGCACTCTGTGCAATTAAAAAGTGTTACAAATTTCTTACAATTTACTGATTACGGATCTGATTATACAATTTTACAAGCCTTGTTAAAAGTTGAGAAGCACATCAAAAATATAAATTTGCAAAAAAACAAGTTATTTTTCGAAAAATCATAACTGTATGCATAATTACATATGTAATTGTACATATTTAATTTGATATGTCCTATTTCAATGTTATCTGTTACATATTCATATTACTATATCTTTTCTATATTACATACCTAGAATGTATTTTTAGTTAGTATAGTTCTTTAATTGAACCACATTAAAATTTACATATTTATTTTTATGGGTTTCCTTTATAGCATACCTCCCGTTATAAAGTACTCATTTTTTTTTTCTCCCTAGAGGGTACATTATACCCAGAGTTCACTATATCTTGTATCATGTACATTTTATTGAAGAAAAATTTTTGAAACTCTGGACATCACCAATTTAAATGGAAAAAGTTTTTTTTGTAATTCCAAGGCTTAGATGATTACGATATCGAAAGGAAGCTCTAAATGTTCTATTTTCCTACTCCAAATAGGGCTTTGAAACACCTTATAATTTCTTGATGACCATAATCAAATTCTGCATCCCAAATTACTCTGACAAATTTTGCAATGTAGAACATTAAAGTTTAAAGGAAAAAGAATGTTTTTAAGAATTCTTGGTTAGCTGTAACTCAGACAAAATTTTGTCACTAACCCAAAGTGGTATACTGGCTCTACACGACGATAGTACGTCCATCTCTCTTGTATGGCTCACTGGTCTGGTGGCTTGCATTAGAACTGAGACAACTAAGGCCAAACTCAATAAAATTCAGCGTTTGGCCTGTATTAGCATTACAGGCGCAGTGCGAACAACGCCATTGAGTGCAATGGAAGCTCTGTTGGATCTCCCACCATTGGATCTGGTGATCCGCGGTGAAGCGAGAGGTAGTCGCTCATCGACTGTGGAGTCAGGGCAGCTGGGCTTTCTTGAATCCTGTCAAGGGGCATACTGCCATCTTAGTCGAATTGCAAAGGGAGGACCCCGTCCTTCTAAGCAGGGGTGATCGTATCACCCCTAAATATCGCTTCAACCGCAAGTTTATTGTGGAGTATCCAACGAGGGAAGAGTGGGACGCCGGTAGCCGGAGACTCTTCGGAGTGAGCGGGCAGGTCTGGTACACGGACGGCTCGGTCACCAAAGAGGGCTCAGGTCTGGGGTCTCTGGGCCTAAAACTAGGCTATTCCTGCCTCTCCGTGGATCCACCTCTATTTTCCAGGCGGAAATCTTTGCGATTCTGGCTTGTGTTTCTCACGTTTTGGAGGAGGGTGGGCCTAGGAGAAGAATAACAATCTTATCCGACAGCCAGGCTGCAATGAAAGCACTAAGTGCCTGTAAGATGTACTTCGAGTCTTGTATTGTAATGCAGGGAGGCTCTGGATTGCCTAGCAGCGAGGCATCCGGTATCGTTAATGTGGGTACCGGGGCACGCTGGGATAAGGGGCAAAGAGACGGCGGACACTCTGGCGAAGACAGGATCAGCCAGCAAGCTCATTGGTCCTGAGCCAGCTCTAGGAATGACCGCGCATAGAGCTAGGAGGAAAATGGAGACGTGGGTTGCAAGACAAAACTCTCAGAAATGGAGAAGTATCTCCAGACATCTCCCCCAGACACGGGAACTCATTGAAGGGTCCAGTGCTAAGGATGGACGTTTCTGTCTATCTCTGGATAGAGCCAATCTAAGGTTGCTGGTGGGACTGATGTCTGGCCATAACACGTTAAGGCACCACCTGCACGTGATGGGGGTGGCTGAGGATCCCTTGAGTGAATGCTGAGGGGTAGAGGAAAAGACCGCGGCGCACGTTTTGTGTCCATTACTTTGGACACTCAGGATGTCAAGGAGCTTGGACTCAAGGCAATTCTCAACTTCGTTAAAAGGGCAAGGCTTGTGATCTAAGGATTGTAGAGGTGCATAAGGGCCCCTTTAAGCGGCCTATGCACTGGCTCTTTATGGTGGCCTTTATGGCTCTAATTTCGAGATTCATTCATTCAACCTAGGTTATGAATCTGTTGCCAGTTTTTGAATCATCTGGTCCCATAAGTCCCATTTTTCTATCCTAGTTAGTGCTGGCCAATATTTTTAGGGTTTTTTTCCTTGTATAACAAGTTACCTTGGCTGGCAACCATGGACTGCAAAATTGGAAATTCAAAGCTTAAACTCACGCCTTTGATGAAAATATTAAAAAATTCTTGCAAATCCTCTATTTCAACTGAAACATGATTATGGGTTCAAAGATCTTTACTATCTTTAGGATATCTTGAAGGCTACACTCAAAATCAGTCATCCAATTTACCCAAGTTTCACTTGTCTGCAGACAATATTGTCAACTTACCTCTAAAGTTTGTAAGCACTGTATATCATCTGGCAGCTTGCTGAGTTGATTTGTCCCTAAATTTAGCTCGACCATGCTCACCCAAGTACCAACATCTAGAGGCAAAGCTGTTAACTGATTTTCCTTCATATTCAACTTTGTCAGATGCTTGGCTCTGGAGAAGATCCCATAAGGAATCTTGTCAATTTGGTTATGTTCTAAATTCAGTGAGTCAACATTAGTGAACTGCGATGGCCCTCCTGAAGGATATGCGGAAAAATTGTTCCTTGATAAAGTTATGCTAGTTAGTTCACTCAAACTAGAAAGTAGTCCTTCTGGTAACTGGGAGATAGCATTGCCTTCTACATTGAACTCATCCATATGCTTGCAGTTACTCAAACTCGGAGGAATATGAGACAGCCTGTTATACCTTAAGCCTAATCTCGTCAATTGTTGCAACTGCCCAATAGAATCTGGTATATCTAACAGTTCATTATGTTGTAAATCAAGAGTAGATAGATTCACACATTGTCCAATCTCTTCAGGAAGATGTTCCAAGTGATTGTGGGAAACATCAAATGTCAAAAGGTTTACTAACTGGCCTATTCCTGGTGGTAACTCTTTTATTTTATTCTCCCTTAGACTGAGCATCATCAGGGAAGTTAAATTTCTGATTTCATCACTTACATACTTTATCCGATTAAACCTCAAAAATAGTGTTGTGAGCGTAGTTAGTTTGTACACCACTTCTGGTATATCATTCAACTTGTTGTGTCTTAGATCAAGAACCTTCAGTGAGTGAAGATTCTCTAAAGAATCTGGAAGGCTTGTGAGTGAATTCTCACTCAATGCTAGAGTTTGTAAGTTAGTAAGGCAACCTATTTCAGGAGGGAGGGATATCAGCTTGTTACCATATAGATATAATTCTGCTAAATGATGTAAGTCTCGAATTGTAGGTGGTAGTGTAGTTATATTAGACTTGCTAAGATCCAATCTTTTCAGACCTTCATCTCGACATCTTAGAAATTCCTTGGATATATCTAGGTTGGCTTGGATAGGTTGCTTGTTTTTCTTTGTTGTTGGTTTCAATTTGTTGGATTCCGGGTGTTTCACTGTTACTACTTTGGGTCTACTAGCGTCTCCACCGCCCAAGGATCCAGAGGAGAATTTTTTGGGTTTGACATGCTCCAAGGAGCCCGAAGACTCGGCCTCTGGCATGTCCGATGGATCTAATAAAAAACCGCTGCTTGCTTGAGTCATCTTCCGTGCGCTTCAATCTATTTTGGCCATGATTTTCGTAGTTTTTTGTTTTGGCTTTCTCGTGGCCTCCTAGAATCTCAGCTGATTTTTTTGGGTGACGTATATGATCATTCCTGGGAGACACAGCTTGTCATGACAACAACACGATACACAAACAGATTTTCGATAAATAAACGTTCACACAAGTTGAGAAATATGCCTCCGCCCATAAACACTTATGTCGGGTTCATGCACGATATAGCGATTTTTGAATAAGTCAATCATGAACAAGATCACATATCGCAACACTACTACAACTTCGTTTTACAACTTTACAACGTTGTCTGTATGTGAAGATTAAACTGTAGATGCACCTGTCGGGCGCTCAGCAATATATTTCTGGAATACCATACGTTTTTTCTATAATGGTGTCAGACTATTATTATATTTTGGATAGTTACGAGATATTATTTTAGTAAATAATGGGTTGTTTCTATGAATAAATACACTATTTAAGTTACATCTCGCCGTTACAAATAAAAATTGCATAATTTGGCAACTTGGCTCCAGCTAATTGTCAATTTTGACGTATGATGTTATCATATGCACACACGGTACCTATTGAGTAAAACCGGAACACTTCTCAGCAGGTTACAGTTATCTTTTAAAAAAATACTTCGGCACTCTTAGTTATAGCGACGCGCTACAGATGAACCAGTGATCGAAGCATTGTTGCCAAGATGTTAAAATATTCTTCAGTTTCACAAAACAAATGGCAGTGCTCAAAACGGTGTCAAGATTCGCACTCATTTAGCATTTCTATATTGCAAAACTAATAACACGAAATACAGGACATGCTTTCTGTTTGTTGTTATATCATAGGCATACTCTTGATTTAAATATGTTATGGAATGTGGCTCTTGCTTGGAATTATTGTTTCGATAGGTTACAGTTATCTTTTAAAAAAATACTTCGGCACTCCCAAATCAAATCCAAGCGGATAACCAAAATTTCCGTATTATGTACCGCGGTTATAATATGGTTCAAGATGACACACGGGATGGTGACGTCAGTTAATCGCTTGAACGCGTTGGTTTTAACCGCGGTTTGTTGCAAGTTGTTTATTTTAGAAAAGCGCGTATAATAATTTCTGATTATTTTTATTATCACTTAATAATCGGTGCTTTTTCGTCTACAACGGGGTATGGAAAGTTGAAAAAAAGAAAACTTTCATAATATTAATGGAAGGAATGTTTTTTTCCCTAAAAAATTTTAACTGATGGAACCATGGCTTTGTAGCTATGATAACTTTCAATTCTCTAAACTTTTCCGCATGTCAAAGAAAATATTTATTGATTTAGCAAAAATGATGAAAAAGCGATGAAAAAAGATATTAACAAAACCGTATACAGGTGGACATCATCCAGTGAGTTTATACGGCCATATTTTAATATTCTTGTGGTATATGGCTATACAGGATACTTTTTTAAGTGTAGGAACTAGATTTAAAGTGTCCCCAACAACAGTGATGATTATAAATAATGCTAAAACTGAAGTCAGCCTGTATCAAGTTTCCCAAAAATGAAGCTGAAGTACAATAAAAATATCCAATACCCGGCAAAATTCTAACTTGTCACATTTCAAATAATAACCAGAAATTTAAAACTACTCTTGAGTATGGGTAAATACCACAATTTTGCGGTGATAACTATGACATATAACAGCTGATTCGTGACGTCACGGATCTTATAACCAAACTGATAACTACACTCGCTTGAACGGATTGGTAAATACCAACCCAAAATGGTAAATACCATTTCCATTTGGTTATCCGCTTGAATTTGATTTTAGTTATAGCGACGCGCAACAGATGAACCAGTGATCGGAGCATTGTTGCCAAGATGTTAAAATATTCTTCAGTTTCACAAAACAAATGGCAGTGCTCAAAACGGTGTCAAGATTCGCACTCATTCTCAATGTTACGTAATGATTTCCATCTGTCTACCATTTAACGGACAAGAATAGAAAATCTATCAACATATAAAAATATGATTAGGGGTTGTTTAATAGGTCTTATCTGTTCATATTATGTCGCTGTATACTGATTGTAATAAAATACCAAGTACAAATACACTTTTTTATTTTCGAAATATAATATTATTATAAAAACAGTAAATGACAAAACTCTCAATAAATTAAGTTATCCCAGGTCCATTTGCAGAATGTACTTTCATCCTGACTACAGACTGACATTTTGGAGACAAACAAATCGAAGTACCTACATAAATGGAGTAAGTACTGTGATACTAGATTCAGGCATCACGTAAATTTTTTATTGTGCAATCCATTATAATGTTCCACCATCCGATTTTTATTGATCGCTCTATATTTGCAAAATTCACAGGTATAAATTTTACGGGCTATAGTACTTACAAGTTTCTTATCCTTACCATGGTTTGCTAAAATATGATTAGCAAGATGACTGTCCTGTATAAATTTTTTTTTACATTTTACACATATAAATTTTTTGATGTTATCATGGATTCGCATATGAAGTTTGAAACCACCTTTTCTATATGAACTATAGTCACATATCTTGCATTTGAATATTTCTGCATTTTCTTTGGAATGTTTCATCTGATGGGATCTTAAGCCCCCAGTCTGTGTCGTCTTGTAACTGCAAACTGAACAATTGTGCACCTTACTAGTTACTAGATGGGATAGGTTAGGATGAATCCTTAAGATATGTTCATCTCTGCTAGTTTTCAAAGAATATTCATTCATACAAGACGGACATTTGAATGGTGTTAGCCTTTTCAAGTGTCTTTGTATATGTTTTTTCAAAGTACCCTTATCGTGTGTTTTGAAATTGCAATAATAACAAATGTAGTGTGGTCTGTGACTTTTCTCATGAACCAAGCTATGCGATCTAATACCACTTTTGTAGACCGACTTATAATCGCAAATATTACAGGAATACATTTTCTTATTGGACCTATCATGACACAACATGTGCTGATTGAGAAGATCTTTCCGACTTGCTTTATAATCGCAAAGATGGCAATAAATTTTTTTAGAGTTTTTATTGTGTATATTCAAGTGCCGTGTATATGATTTTTCCAAATAGGATTGAAATTTACATGTAGTGCAAACAAATATTTTTGCACCTTCTTTTGAGTGCCTCAACCTGTGAATGTCCAAGCAATTCCTACGATCTGTTTTGTATGGGCATTCAGAACAGTGATGTTTTTTCTTTTCTTTCGCATCTTTAAGTGCATCCCTGCAAACAAATCAACAAGAGAGGCCAATTAAAAAGAAATCAAATAATTTTAAAAATATAGCTCTCGAAATTAGGTTCAGTAACTTTTGTTTTGTCCTTAAGTTCGGTTACTCCCGAAATAAGGTTATTTTACTGAAATTTTGCTTGCTTCGTATTTTCTATGCAAATAGTATGTAACAAAATATAGAATATACACCTAGTAAGAAAAACGAAAAGTTTTTCTTTTGAGTGAATTTCGGTATACACTTTTTCCAACGGCTTTTTTTGAACTAACTAACTAACTAACATTAGAGTATGTGTACAAAGTATCCTTTTTTGTTCTTACAGGAATTGATGCATCCTTTTTTGCTATTGTTATTGAATACTAAATGGTCAATATACATCACTTCTATTCATGAGTCACAACATTAAGCATTTCTATATTGCAAAACTAATAACACGAAATACAGAACATGATTTCTGTTTGTTGTGTCGCTAAATTCGCGATAAAGATTCTTGATAATTATGAGTATTTTATCATGGTACAATTAAATCGGAGCAATAATGGGGAATGTTCAACCAAAGATAGATCATTACCTTATCCATTATATTTTCTTTTAGGAACCCCGGGACCATTCATACAAGAAGTGTTTATTATGTGCCAGATATCTATAATGATAATCAGTACCAAAATGCAGCTTTGTATTCTGCAATTTATATCATAGGCATGCTCTTGATTTAAATATGTTATATTGTTTCGAGAGATTTCATATGCAGCCTAACATAAGTGTCTACTGTTATTTTTATTATTATATGATATCACGTCAGCTGGATATGTATCTTTGTTACTTATTCGATACGTAATGTGATCGTAGTGAAATAAAAAAAAATATTGTGCATACCGTGATATGACCAAGTAGCCTATTATAGAGTGTGTACTGATGATTGTTAAAAATAATGCAACGTAATATACGGTTGATCACAGAGACAAAAAGCAAACAGGTCCCATTCTGTCGATATATACTAAGTGACATATAAATCTGAACACCCAGTTTAAATGGTTTTATTTTAATAAAATTTTGTATAAGTACTTAATGAAGCATAATAAGTAAATGATAAAATTTTCAAAATGATTACACTGCTTTAAAGCCCTTTGACCTTTAATAATGTGTGGATGCACCCTGATGTGCTACGCATTCTCCAACGCGCCTAGGCATGCTTCTGATCAGGTGGTCAATGTCCTCCTGTGGTATCTCATTCCAGGCAACCACCAACTCCTCTCGAAGTGCTTCTAGAGTCTGAGGAGGACGTTGCAAATTGAGCAATCTCCTTCCCATCATATCCCACACGTGCTCAATTGGGGATAAGTCGGGAGATCTTGATGGCCATGGTAACAATGTGACATCATTATGTTGAAAGAAGTCTATTGTGACTCTTCAACATGTGGTCGGGCATTATCTTGGTGGAAAGTTGGATCTGCCAGGGTGTCAAGATAGGGTAAAAGATGGGGTTCTAGAACTTCGTGGATATAACGCTGCGCGTTCATGTTACCTCTGATGAAGATTAAAGGTGACCTGGAACCATAAGCTATAGCACCCCAAACCATAACTCCAACAGTGTGATGAACAAGTCTTTCAACAAAAAACTGTGGATTCCTCCATTCACCACGTCGCCTTCTAACCCTGGCACGACCATCGTGCATGCCTAAACAAAATCTAGACTCGTCACTAAAGACAATACTGTTCCATTCCTGATCCCCGAGTGACCGTTGTCTGCACCACTCAAGGCGATTACGTCGGTGTTCTCGAGTTAAAGGGAGGACCCAGTGTGGCCGGTATGAAAACAAGCCAAAACTTCTCATTCGTCGGTAAACACTTCGCATGCCAATAGGTCTTCCGTGTTCTGCAAACCATTCATTTGCAATGGACCTGGTAGTGGAGAAACGTTCCCTTAAGGCCAATAATCTTAGGCGGCGATCTTCACGGTCTGTTGTTCTACGGCGGCGTCCAGTGCCCCTTGCTCTTTGCGTACGGCCTTCTCGAAGCCATGCCTGACAACACCTAACCACAGTGTCTATACTTCTTTGCACTCTAACTGCAATTGCCCGAAAAGAAAGTCCAGCTTCCCGAAGTCCCACTATACGGCCCCTATCAAACTCACTAAGTTGACGAAATCGTACAGGTCTCCGCACTCTAGGCATCGTAACCGATCGTAAAGGATGTCAAGAACCAAAATCCGCCAACGTTGATTCTTTACTGCGGCTGAAATATTCATTTTTAGAGCGTTAGTGAATTAAAAAAAAACAGTATAAAAACCGGAATGTCCAACTGATAAGGCTGAAAAATTTTTCACTTGTTATTTACAGTAAGATAAATACATTCATCAACTTTTATGAAAATAAAACCATTTAAACTGGGTGTTCGGATTTATATGTCACTTAGTATATTTCGTTAATTATCAAAACTGTCTATGTTTGTTTTTGAAAATTTAATGTTACTTATCTCATATTATATACCCTGGTTCTGTATCACGAAATAGGGGGCACACATTCACGATGTTCGAGACAAGGCGAACTTATGTCACGAAATAAGGTTCAAATGAGGGTTACTAAAAAAAAATTAGTATGGATACTGCAAGTTAAAACAACAGACATTCTTCACTTGACTACTACTAAGTTTGGAACATTTACCTTACGCGTCGAAATTAGCGCCCAACTATTTTGAAAGTCCCTGGCTTCAATTTCCGATGAACCAGGTGGGGCGTTAGTATCAGAGAACACATTGCTTTGCTGAACTACTAGACACTCTCTATGAACATGAACGCATAACTTAACGTAGAAAACGAAGTTGTCTAAATCATCTGAAAATACTGTGACATCCAGCGCCTACTGACTGGGAAGTATCGTAATCGATAAGAATTTCTTTCTTCTTCTTATTTCTTCTGCATCCTTGGCATAGTAGTAACATTAGGTTTGTTCGTACACTGGTCGCTGAATTGTCGGTGACTGTGTCTGGGATCCGGCCGTGTGAATGCCGTCTATATAGGATGAACGCAATTTGTGCGACGGGATTTTGAACACAATCACTGACAGGTTGGCGACTGCGGTGTTTCTCAAGGTGAGTGACGGTTTTTCGTGATGTACCTACATGTCATGTAACTTTCGAAAACATAATATCTCATTTTTTAAATTTTTCATGATTACAATACTTCCTTCGTCATCTGGCGTGGGGAGTAAAAACACTAAATTACTTAATTTTAAGAGGCCCAAGTGAAGGGGTCATTACAACCATAGAAAGGACTTCCAAAAAATCACTTCAGGGAACGTAAAAATCAAATACAAAATCGCTGAAACAATAATATTGAACTCGTGTGAGATTATGTTGAACTTATCTTTTTTCATGTAGAGTCCAGAAAATGTTCTAATCACCTGGCACAAATGTGCAGCTTCCCAACTTTCAAAGCAGTGGAGCAGAAATGTTGACGCGTATGTAGACTTTTTTCCGTCATTGTTGTTAACGGTATAAAATTCTTACTTTTTTGATGTATTTTCATCTGTTAATTCTTTCAACTTTGCACTCAATTGTCTCTCTATAGCTTTATCCAGATGAATTTTGATCGACAATTGTGGGCCACACTGCATGTGATGTTTATCCCTGAATTCATCATTTTCGAAATGTAGTCGGCAATAGTTACAGGTGGAAGCCATATTAGGAATGATCTAAAATCAATAAGGAATAACATAACTACAAAGAAGCGATAACCTATTGTGACGTAGATTCAAAAAATACCACATATCAAGAAAAAACCGGCACGTGATTGTTTAATTTTGACTATTTTAAGCGTTTTTTATATTTTATTTTTACAAATTTCTGTTGGCGCTCTACACACTAAAACAAACTAGTGCTAGTTTGGAAACTTATTTACTCTAATATTTAAAATACAAAAAATATTATGGTGCGCAGAGCACGTAAGCAAATCCTTCAGAATAAAAAAACGCTTAAAATGATAAAATTCAATCAACATGCCAAGCTTTAAGGTTATTTCTTGATACTTACTATTCTTTTATATTTATTGTCGATGTAACTCCGGATACTTGAACTTGATATTAACAAATACAATAAAATAGGCTACATCGAAACTTTGAATTTTCACAAATAGTATAGACGAAAAAAGCTAATATTCAACCACCTCGTTTGCAAATTGAGCTTGTAGTGTGATATTAGGTTATCACATTTTCACATATCGTTGGACATCTGACAATACCTGCTATCTGACATTTTTGCCCAATTTGAGGTATATACACATTTTTCTTCGTCTACCTACAGCGCACATTGTGATATAGTCCGCTAACTGCAGAAAAATTTAGTTTTTGAATTATTCAGCCAAAACAATACCTACCACTGGCAACACGTCTGTCAATGAGCGGCAATTCCAGCTATCTGACAAATACGCGTGCTATTTTTCTTAACTTTGCAATGAAACAGGACGTTGTGGATTCTCAGAAATATCTCACCAAAGGACACACCCAAATGAAATGTGACTCTGTACACAGTTGCATTTAAAGAAAACTGAGAAACAGAGTTATTGAATTACCAAATTACTATGTTAAGGCATCAAAAGAAGCTAGGACAAAACCAGAGTCATATGAGGTGATCCAATTGAGTTATGACTTCTTCAAGGACTTCTCTAGAACAGAGGTGCAGTATCGGTCAACAATTAGACCAGGCAGGGACAATATAGTCACGGACATGAAAGTACTATGTTATAATCCCGATGGAAAAATTGAAGTGAAACTAGACTTCAGTGTAGAGCCTCAGGAGTTGCCTATGAGACCAAAACAGCTACCAGTCATTTTTCAGATTATAAGTGTTATATCTAAAGACTGTCACATATTTTACGACAATTTGCTATATGTCAAGGAAAGAAGCTGAACGTTCATTTAAGGTGTAACTGAGAATACATGCTATTATCTTTTCGATTTGTAAAAGCATTAAACTTTTAATTTGATATAATGAATAACAGTTTTTCTAACACGAATCTCACTAAATCCATCTATGCATCGTAGTACAATATCGGCTAACTGCAAAGAAAGTTATCAGAAATATCAGCTGTCTGCACTAATTTTGTCAATGTCAATTAGAGCTTCATTTTTAACGTCATTTATTTTTTGTGACCAAAGTTGTAGAGTCTTAAGGCCGGTAGTATAAAATTGATAAGGTTTTTTTCGTCCCCTGTAAAATTATGGTTCCTGCATATAGCAGGTATTGTCAGATGTCCGACGATATACAAAACTGAATAACTAAGCTAAGCGATATTATGGATGAATATTACTAAACTGTGGCGAATTGCCACCAATACAAATTACAAATAATATGAAACCATACACCACAAAATCTTTGAGGTTATTTTTGCTCCCAGAGTTATGTAGTTTACGTACCACCTGCACTTCTGAAAGCAGCAATCATTACCAGAACAACAACACGTAGAACACCAAAGTTTAAAACCGATTTTCTTACGGACATTTTTAGGTTAAGGTAGCTGTAGTACCAGCACCAGTGATGCCACCGGCCAGTAAAGGAATTATGGTATGATGTTGCCAGAATTATCAATTTTTCTTCAAAATTATGTTACAAATAGTGTTCCTTTAAGACAAAAAATACACATAATTAATATAGCTTCTTTAATGTAAAAATCTCATAAAAAAATGGAACATTTGGGAAAATCAAACAAACTCTCGAAAAATACCTAACTCGAAAACATAAAAAACATTATTCAGGTTCAAAATGAATATCAACAGTTTCATTTTCATCTTGAGCGACATGTTTATAGGACGTTATTCTATTAATCATATTTTGAGTAACGTTAAACTTATAACATTCACGATTTACAGTTTGAGATGCCAATAAAAGTGAATTTACTGTATCACTGTACAAGCGATTTCGGACATCTGTTTTGATTAAATTTAGTTTTGAAAACATTCTTTCGCATGCGGCATTTGAATGAGGAATTACTAATAAATCTAATACAAAATTTCCCAATTCTTTAAATACGTAAACATCAGACATGTCGTGAATTTGGGAGATTTTGTACCAGTATTTATCGATTGATGCTTCATCCTTTATTTCATCACTGAAATTTGGTTCTGACTGGCAATACATCCGCCACTGATCATCAATTTTTTGTATTTGTTCAATATCTTGAGGATCTACAATTCTGGGTAGTAATTTAATTAATGGAAAAAGCGATGCTGGTTTTGGTTTAGAATACCCTTTTTCAAAAACTGGTATTTTTGACAAAATATTTTCATTAAAATCAAACCGTTTTTTCATTTCATTTGCAGAAGTTATTAAAAATTGACGGCGCCGCATGTAGAAATCTTCTTTTTCCTTTCGTCTTAATTTATCAATGTTCTAAAGTACGCGAACACCAAGGTATATCTGTTTCAAGTCAATGAACTGACTAGCATTGTTGGGATCGATTTTACCTATTTCGGTTTTATGAATATAATTTGGTTGTAAATAGCTTAAACAAATTTCTTTATAAGTTTCACAAACTACATCATAAACGTGTGCAATTATGAAACGCTCACTTTGAAAGTATGCATTTAATTTTACAAATTTTGGTAAAATCCAATGAAGAAAAAAGAAAAAAAGTTTTGTTTCCATATCATTAAGTCTATTGGCAACAACTTCTGAAGCTTGCAGTCTATGTTCGGTCCATTCTTTAACAAAATATAATTGAAGGGGATTCCATTGCTCAGTTATCATTTCCACTACCGTAAGTAATGAAAGCCACCTAGCTTGTGAAGGACGTAAAATTTTGTGAGGCTCCACATTACAAAATGTCTGAAATTGTGTAAATTGTGCTTGCCGTTTGGAGCTATTTTTAAAGTAACCAAAAATATTCCTGATTAAATCTTCACAATGACGGGGCAAAACTTTACAAGCCTCACTGGCACAAAGATGTAAAGAGTGGCAGATGCATTTTTGAACTATAATGCCAGGAAGATTTAGTTTTAACCTACTTACTACTGAGTTATTGGCACCAAACATAGTGTTACAACCATCAGAACCAAATCCTATAATATTTTGGAAAGGTATATTGTTAGACTCAAATAAATCCATAATTTTTTTATAAAGAACTTCTGCAGTCGCCCCTGTATTTGCTTCATCTGGATTTTGATTTGAAAAACATTGAACCAAATTTAAAAATTTTGTAGTTACCTCATTTGTTTTTTCACTAAAGTACCTAACACATACACATATATTTTTTACTACACCTATGTCTGTAGATTCATCTACTAAAATACTAAACTTTTTTGCTTTTAGTTCTTCGATTAGTTCTTCAAAATGAGATTTGGCTAAAACATGTTTTATAACACCTGTTGCTTTGGTTCTTCCCATCTGCATTCCTTGGGCAATTTTCGAGTCAGGAAATATGTCTTTTAATAAAGGAATCAGATGATCACACAGCTTGATGGGTAGATTATGCTCTGATATTAATGCAGCAATTTTTATTTCTGCCCTACTCACTTGACCACTAGCTTCGTTTTTATTAGAAAACATAGTAGAAATTTTTGGTTGATTTTTCACAATCACCTTTACATTTTTTAAATGTTTAGCTCCCTTACTGTGATTTTTCAATACAGTTAAATCTGCTTGAATTTCACTATCACAAGCAATACATTTTGCTCGAGTGGGTTTTTCTAAAAACAAAAATGCATATCATTAAAAGTATAAAATGGTTTTATGTTATTTTTTCTACCTTTAACAGCTTTCAACCATCCTTTGAAATGAGGATTGCTTTCCCATTCACATCTATATTTTTGTGGTCTATTTTCTCGTCTGTTTACGTTTTTAAACTTTAATCTTTTTGCCTCCCTTTCTGAATCCGAAGAATCGGAGTAATCATGATGATCCCCTTTGCTGGTACTGGCCATTTTATTTCACTATTTGATCACATCAACACACATTAATAAGGACTCATGCGATCAACTACTCTTGCTCGTATTGAAAAAGAAACAATGACGATTAGAGTATTCCCCTGCGTAGGCTCAAATTCACCGAGACTCGAGTTCCGTAATATTTACATAGATGGCGGTAGGCTTGATTTTTATTCTAATTCCATAATAACCATGCTATTAACTGAAAGAGGTCAGCACTAATAATTATTATCCTTTTTGTTACGTTGCTTTGGTTGCATACAATTAGAACCAATAATTTTGGAAACATAGTTATAGGCTGGGAGATGGAAAAATAATATGTTACAATTATCGATTATGTTACATCTTTTTATTTACTGTATATTTCAGTAGAAAATATGGTACAATTTGATAATTATGTTACAAGTGGCAACACTGACCAGCACAGCAGTTCGACTGTTCGACTAGATACTTACTGGGCATGCGCTGAATTGGTTCGTGATATGCAGCTAAGCCAATAGGCAGGGGCGTATCGCCAGACGTTTGCGTAGTACTACCGTCTTGTTAATACCGAATTGAAATGAAAGCATCTCATTATTAAAGGCAACCTGTGGTTGAGACGTTGGCGAATGCAACTTCCAGTTATACTTTCCGAATAACATCCGTTATTATCCGTCACTAAAAAAAGTTTTCATTGTTATATGAAAAAATGGCGTCAAGTAGGTTGACTCTGCATTTCCCATGCAACGCCGTCTTCAGTTTATAAAGGATTGAGTTCAGCACAAGTTAGACCCTCAGAGAAAACTTAAATGGATCAAGTCAGTCAAACAGGCCCAGATGAATGAATGAATTAATCTTGAAATTAGAGGCATTCCGGCCACCATAAGGAGCCAGTGCATAGACCGCTTAAGCGGGCCCTTATGCACCTCTATATTCCTTAGATCACAAGGCTCGCCCTTTTAGCGAAGTTGAGAATGGCCTTGAGTCCAAGCTCCTTGACGTCATGAGGGTCCAAAGTAATGGACCCCAGTATAGTCTGCCTATAGTAGGTCAAAGCTTCACAGCGACACAAAACGTGCGCCGAGGTCTCTTCCTATACCCCGTAGCGTTCACACTATGGATCCTCAGCCACCCCCATCACGTGCAGGTGGCGCCTTAACGTCTTATGGCCAGACAACAGTCCCACCAGCAACCTTAGGTTGGCTCTATCCAGAGATAAGCAGAAACGTCCATCCTTAGCACTGGGCCCTTCAATGAACTCCCGTGCCTGGCAGAGATGTATGGAGATACTTCTCCATTTCTGAGAGTGTTGTCTTGCAACCCACGTCTCCATTTTCCTCCTAGCTCTATGCGCGGTCACTCCTAGAGCTGGCTCAGGACCAACACACTCCGGAAAGTCTCCGGCTACCGGCGTTCCACTCCTCCCTCGTTGGATACTCCACAATAAACTTGTGATTGAAGCGATATTTAGGGGTAATACGATCACCCCTGCTTAGAAGGACGGCGTCCTCCCTTTGCAATTCGACTAAGATGACAGTTTGCCCCTTAACAGGATTCAAGAAAGCCCAACTGCCCTGACTCCACAGTCGATGAGCGACTAGCCTCGCTTCACCGCGGATCACCAGATCCAACGGTGGGAGATCCAACAGAGCTTCCATTGCACTCAATGCGTTGTTCGCACTGCGCTTGTAATGCTAATACAGGCCAAACGCTGAATTTTATTGAGTTTGGCCTTGGTTGTCTCAGTTTTAATGCAAGGCCACCAGACCAGGGAGCCATACAAGAGAGATGGACGTACTATCGTCGTGTAGATCCAGTAAACCACTTTGGGATTAAGCCCCCACCTCACACCGACAACACGTCTACAGGCCCACATTGAATTGCGAGCCTTGCTTACCTTGTATTCAACATGCTCTCTCCAGTTCAGTTTGCAATCCAGGATAATTCCCAGATATTTCACTGATTGCGATAGAATTAATCTAGTCCCAAAGAAGGTCGGCATGACCAGCCCGTCAAGCCTTCTTCTCCTAGTGAATAGGAGCAGCTCGGTCTTTTCAGCATTAACAGAAACATCGACTTCCCTTTACCACGATTCAGTATATCTAGCTCTGCCCGGTTTAGGAATGAATACCGCTTTAGCCTGCCGCCAGCTTAAAGGTGTGGAGCCCGTGGCAACACATGCTCGAAACACCATCAACATGTGAGGAACAACTGAACTCCGTCCCTGCTGTAACATGGCCGAAAATACGCCGTCCAGACCTGGACCTGGACTTTCGAGGGTGACAATCTCCCTAGCCGTGCGCCAGTCCTCCCCTGAGGGCCTGCGCAACTGGATGCACTCTGTGATTGATCGCGCTACTGTGGAACCGGGGAAGTGCGTATCCATCAGAAGCATCAGAGTACCTTCCTCGGAAGTAGTATCCCGTCCCCCCCCGAGGGAACATGCAGAGATCCCAATCTTTGCATAAGACCGTGTGTATTCTCGCAGTATCAGGAATGTCATTTATGGACTGACAAAAGTTCCTCCAGGATTCTCTGGAGGCCCTTCTAATCTCCTTTTTGTACTCATGCAATGCCTTTTTGTAGTCTTCCCATAGAGGAGAACTTCTCCTTTACTTAACTCTGCTAAGAAGTTTGTGCACCGCTCGTTTTCTATCTTTCTAATTCTTTGGACCAGAAGGTTAATAATAATGTCTTTATTAATCCATACACGCTGCGAGGCGAAGTTGCCTTGCCCTTACCTTGGGCTTCGCGTAACGGACAGTTTTCCTCATATGAAGCCGTCAAGTCCCTGCTCAGAGACTCGACGGCTGCTTCTATGTCAGAGCCCCTACAAAGTCTGTATGGGACCGCTCCAAGCTTACAGTCAAGGTCTGCCCTAAAGGCCCCCATCTAGTATGCCTAGGATTCCGAGCATATTTATCTAGAATCTCTCCATCAGTCTTAAACAGTTTAGACCTGTGATCCGATAGAGAGGGCCTCCAACCATGCCCTAGAGGATTCGTCCTCGCAGACAAAGATGGCTGCCCCTCGAGAGAGGTAGCAGTCTATGTACCTGGGAAGGGCCTGGGCCTGGGAGCCCATCTATCAGCACACTGACCGCCTCATGGACTTGCTGTACCTGTGCTTCAGTAAATTGAGTCCCAGGATAACCGTCGGACATGACAGCCACCCTGAGACTCGACTGGGACGCACACGCATAGCTAATTTGCGCCCTCCGGTGTCCCACCGGCAAACCTCTGCCGCTTCCCGTCGCCAGACCGGCTTAGGGCCTCCGCTGACACACCGGATTGCGCAACGTCTAGCCCAGATGGCGGTTGGGTCCGTCCAGCCGGAGCCCTAGAAGTGGTGCCCTGACCTTCCGAGCCTTCCGTCATTTGCGCCTCTCTCCGCTTCCGAGCTCTTTTCCTTTCAGACTTCTTCTTAATTTTTAGAGAGCCCACCCTTTCCGCTAGATCTCTCGCTAAGTTTCTGAAAGGTTCCTATGTCAGAGTACGATCAGTGTCCCTTGGTGAGGGGCCGCCTGGATGTTCGGGGTCCGCTGGTGAGGGGCCACCCGGATGTTCGGGGTCCCCGTAGCGGGGACCTCGGGGGTTTTTATTATTTTCTTCGTGCTCCATATTGTTCCCACGAGTAAAGGGGAAATGGTGGTAGACGTTCGCGGTGCCCCTACACGGACTCAAGGATAGATACTCTGGGAGGTCGCCCGGTTTTTTTTGTGAGGGGGGAATGCGTTTATGCACCATACCATAGCCCGAGCTACGGCGTGTGTGGGACTCCGGGTTGTCTTGAGGAGACCACCTAATACCCACTAAACCCTAACCTCCGCGTGGCCCGACTCATCAGCGTCTCGGTAGGCCATGTGTTGTGCGTGACCTGCGGTCTGCTACAACGTCTCCTCATGTGTTTCAGTCTCTGGGAACGCCAGGTTGGTTCCCTTTACCTCGCCCAGTTCTATCGATGTCGTTAAGCGAGCATCGATATAGGGTTTGCTATGTTCTCTTGAAACTCTTGTTTTCGAAAAATCAAGAGTTTCAAGTCCTCTACTACTTGTATGTTACCTGGTCCTGATGGGCCCTGTTCCTGGTTGGTCCTGGTCCTGATGGGTCCTGGTCCTGGTTGGTCCTGGTCCTGATGGGTCTTGGTCCTGATGGGTCCTGGTCCTGATGGGTCCTGGTCCTGCTGGTTCCTGGTCCTGTTGGGTTCTAGTCCTGGTCGTCCTGGTTGTCGTCCTCTGCTTGTACTCGTGAATGGTGTCCCAATGCAGGTCTCTACGCAAGGTTGAGTTTCTTACGTAGGATGGTGCACTGCTGGCGATCCGGAGTAGCTTCATCTTTTGAGCAGCAAGTCGCTTGCGGTAGCTGGGAGCAGCGTACCCCCAGACCG